GAATCATAACTATACAAAAGATAAAAGCATGTAATCATCCATTCAGTTTGATTTTTTTTTTAAATTTGATCCAATCCAATACAATTTTTTTCTGTTTAGATTGGATCAGTTTTTAGTTTTTTGAAAATCCTAAAATTTGTTTCATGATTATTGTGCAAATAACATCTTTTGTATATATTGGCTTTGTAAAAAAAAAATTGAAATACAAAAACATCAGTAAACGATAATATAGTTTTTTTTGGGCAATGAGATATGAAGCTCTACATAAATAAAATTTTGTTGATGAGATATGATTATGTTTTTTCTTGGATTTAGTTGATGGGTTAATGGGTCTTGGGTATAAAAAATTTTGGACTATGATTGCAGAAAGGCCCAAGTAGGTAAAGAAAAATTAATACATTGGATCGATTTGGATTGGATCAGTTTTTATCAATCCATCCGAAAATCGATCCAATCCAATTAAAATTTGCGATTTTTTTTTTTCAGTTTTCGGTTATCATTTTTCGGATCGGTTATCACGGTTTGGATCAGTTGATGAACACCCTTAGCTGTTAGATCAAAAAAGATCAACGACTCTGATTTGTAAGCATGTGACACCATTGATCTTTTTTGATCTAATGACTATCAGATGAGGTGTCAAATTTAAATTTGACACTGATGTCAAAGGATTATACCTCATATATATATAGGGGTTTACATTTTTGCAGCAGCTGCTGTACGTGCAGCAATCAAATACTTGCCATATATATACTTGAAAGCATTAAATGCGGAAAATCATAACCATGCAAAAGATGAAAGCATTAAATGTGAGAAATTATAACCATACACCTGTCGTTGTTGTACATAAAGCGGTTGCAGAAATATATATATAGAGGTAAGATCCTTTGACACCGGTGTCGAATTTAAAGTTTGACACCTCATCTGAGAGCCGTTTGATCAAAAAAGATCAACGACTCTGATTTGTAAGCATGTGACACCATTGATCTTTTTTGATCTAACGGCTCTCAGATGAGGTGTCAAACTTTAAATTTGACACCGGTGTTAAAGGATCTACCTCATATATATATATATATATATATATATATATATATATATATATATATATATATATATATATATATATATATAAGGACAAATCCTTTGACACCGATGTCAAACTTTGAAATTTGACACCAAATTCTAACACCAAATCATAACCGTTTATTTTCGACAATCAACGGTTATCATTTATTGAGAATTACACTTATTAATTAATTATTAATTCCTTATAAATGATAACCTTTGATTGGAGGAAATAAACGGATAGGATTTGATGTCAAATTTTAAAATTTGTCATCGGTGTCAAAGAATTTCACCCCATATATATATATATATATAACAAGAAGGATTATTTTTATAAAAAATATAGCTTTTTATCGATTTAACCATCAAATTAAAACATTCGTTATGTTGATTGTTTGTAATAAATCTTATAAAAATTGAAAAAAAAAGAATATCACTAAATGATTCTTTTATATATTTCGAAAGTTTATATTTATCTGTCACCAAAAAAACAAGTTTATATTTAAATAATATTTTATAAATTTGGAATAAACTTTCAGTCGGATATTAAATTTTGAAATAAAATTATCTCGATTAAAATATAAAAAAACAATATAGCCACAAAAAAGCATTGAAGTAGTGACAACCTCCGCTTACTCCAAGACTCCTTTTCTTCTATCGTGAAACCCTCTTCTCTTTATCATCTCAATAGGTTAAAATGTAGAAGCTGCAAAACAACGCTGGTAAGTAGCGCTATAAATGGGCTGGGTTGGACTTTGGCCTTCCTGATCCAAGCTTACGTAAAAAAAAATTAACCTATCTGACTTACTGGCCTATTAAAGACTTTATTTGTAAGTCAAGCCCGACTTATTTTTAAAAATAAGAAAGCCCGACATGACCTACAGGCTTTGTAGGCCTACCAGTGTAGATACTAAGCAAAGAAAATAATTGTTAGAGCAAAGAAAGTTTCATTCATGAATGTACTAGTAGTTCTCATAAGAAAAAATAACAAACAAGAAGGAGTAAACATAATACCCAGCTTTAGAATGTATATCATAGAGGAATAGAGTCAAAGAAATGGGGAAAATAAGAAAAATACAATTATTGGGTGCTAAAATAAAATCTACAAGAGAATGTCATTCATCTAAAAATTAGGGTTGGTATTGATACTTTGCCATGCCACATAAAATAAATATTATTTTATTTTTAATAAATTAGATAGGTCAGCCTACAAGGCTTGACAAAATTGACCTACGGCCTATTTGTTATAAAAACTTTCTTAAAAGCCTAAGCCTACTCTACTTTTCTGAAAGGCCGGGCCAAGCCAGGCTTAATGTAGGCCGGGCTGGACTAGCCTGACCCATTTACACCCCTACTGATAAGCAATATATATGTAAAAATCAAAGAAAATTAAAATAAAATTTAACTCGGAAGAAGAATTAGGATTGCAAAAATATTAATTATAAAGGAAGAAACAAAAAAAAAAAGATTAAGGTGGCAAAAAAATCGTTACATTCCCTTTCATCATTGCTTAAAATTTTATCTATTAAAAAAATATTTAGTGTTCATATATGTTCCGGACCTGGTTATGAAGCTTGCAACCAACGTATGTAGTATTGCGGGTCTCACATTATTTGAATTGATTACAAAATCCCGCGAAACTATTCGGAGGCTTAAATCATGGAGAATCACCGTTGTTATGTTTAAAAGAAGATTGGTTCTAATTGAGTATTTAATGGAGATGGATCCTAAATTTGGAATTTAATATTTGAATAATATAAAATTATTTTTAAAAAAGGCAGGTTCATTAATGACGGAGATTTGTAAAAAAAAAAAATGTGCATGTGTTGTGATAGAAGAGGTCTTAGAGAAGAAAATTCATATGAGAAAATAATTGAGGTATCAAATCAAATGATTCATATAGGAGAAAAACAAGTAGAAATTAGACAGAAAATTAGGGAATGAATGGTAATAAAAAGAATTATACATAGGGAATGAATGCTAATGGTTTTCAGAATTCAAAATTTGAGATATCGTTTGAAGTCATCAATCAATATTTTGTAATTAAGGGGTGTATTAGATTAGAATTTTAAAAGACTTATTTGAGTTACAAAATTTTATAGATTTTAAAAAACTATTTAGAATTGGAGAAATTTTAAAGACTTTTCTTACCATCAAGATTTCATAAGATTAGATTTTAAAGGATTTTAATAGACTTTATAAGATTTGAAAGGACAATATGGATTTATAAGATTTTAAAAAATCATATGAATTTTTAACAAAAATTCAAAATTACAAGAGTCAATGGAAAAAAGGGAAGATTATACTTATAACCTATTTTTGTTTACAACCATATCTTAACCGTTGATTTCCGTCAATCAACGGTTATCATTGCGAATTAAATATTAATTAATGAGTTTAATTTGTGAAAGTAATAACCGTTGATTGACAAAAATCAACGGTTAAGATGTGGTTGTAAAATGTTATAAACAAAAATAGGTTGTATGTATAACCTTTCCCATAAAAAAATAAACAAAGAAATGCAATGAAATTAATAAAAAAATAAAACCTAATATAATTTTCCCAATCAGTAAAACATAATATAATTTTTAACAACATTCAAAATTACTAAGAACAGCTTTTCACATATCTAAAGTTATACTAATCTTTCATGCATCAACATTTTGCATATAGAACCTAAAGCTATGCATATATGATTATAAGACCCAATTTTTTTTTAATTATTAAAATAATTCTAAATTTGCATATAGAACCTAAAATTCATAATAAAATCTCGTTTGAAATTTTTTGCAATTGATCTTGAAAATTTTGAGATTTTTATTCTACGTGATGAGAGTTTTCTAACCATATATTATATGCATATTTTCATTGAATATTCTAAGAATATTTCGAATCTGAATTTTTGGGTTTTATTACATGAAAGTTTAGAAAGTTTTTCAATTTTTTTTAATCGATACATTGAAACCTTAAATTACTTTGGGGCTTTTGGAAAAACAAGTTTTTAGTTATCTATTGACACAAAAATTGTTTGAAATTGTTTCCTATGGTGAAAAAATTTCGTTCACGAATGTATTATTATGAAATATAGGGTTCATATAATGAAAGTTTCAATCTTTCTTTAAATTGATATTGTTTCATTGATGTAAAACGAAAATTGGTTTGATGGTTATAGTTCCCCTGTTATTTTCCCTTTGTTTTATGTTGTTTTTAATATAAAGATCACACCTTTTTGTGCCAAGAAAAAAAACGCGACCCATAACTTAAAAATTCACTTTTTAAACTTCCAACAAATTTCATAAATGGTTCAAAAATATGTTATTTTTGAGATAGATTATATTAAAATCTCGTTGGTTTGTTGTTTCTGGGTTATTTTGTGATGAAAATCGCTAAAAAATATGCTATTTTTGAGTTTTGAGGAAGCTCCTATGGCGAATCCGATTTCGAGCGGGTCAACTTGACGAAGGAAGAAGAAAACACTACAATAGAGAAATCTCAAGAAATCCTAAGGGTTAGGGTGAGATTGTGAGAGACATCCTATTTATATTTTTTACTAAAAAATCTCACGAATCCACACCAATAGAAAATTCATTAAAATCGTTAGATTTTTGAATATCACAAGATTAATTTTTTTCATTGTTTAAAATCTTAATTGAATACCAACGGATTTGAACGAACTCTAAAATACTCATTTAAAATCCTAATCGAATATACCATGTGACTTCTTTTTTTATCCATTAAAATTCTAATTGAATACCAATGGATTTTTTTGTCCAAAATAAACCATTAAAATTCTAATCCCAATCCAAATACACCCCTGGATATTCTTATACTTAAATAGTACGTAGTGGCAAACCCTAACGTATTGATCCCTCTCTCTCTCTCTCTCTCTCTCTCTCTCTCTCAAACAATAGTAGGGTTGTGTTGGGTTCTCCAGATTTATGGCTTTTGAGCGAGAAACAAAGTTTCCTTTGAAACTTTTCGTGGACAAAGAAAGAAATCATGTAGTTATGGCAGAAGCAGGTGGAGACTTGATAGGCATTTTGTTTGGTTTGCTCAAACTTCCATTGGGAACTATCATGTGTCTGCAACGTAAGAGCATGAAGAGTATTGCCGCTGATGAAAATCTCGATGATCAACCAAATAAGATAGGTTCAATTAGAGAGATCGGTTGCATCAACAATCTGTACCAGAGCGTGATAAATCTTGATGCTGATGTTTTCTTTGCTGCAAGGTTTAAAAATAGGTTCCTTTTTCCGTGCAACCCTAGCGAAGACCTTTGCCAGAAACTGAGATTGATTGTGAATGATCAAGAGCTTAAAAGAGAGCACCTCAGCTGTAGGCACTCTGAGGAAACCCGTATGAATACTGGTTTTATTAACGAGAAAAGCATGTACTTAATTTTTAATGATTTAAAGGTGCTTCAAAGTTCTCCCAACAACTGTGTGGACCAACTTGTCCAACTTGGCTACAAAAACTTCAATGAGCTGACTGAAATGTCCATAAATGTTGGCTTGAAGGAGGTGATATATATATATATATATGTCTTTTAATTTATATTTCTTTTAAATTGGTACGTATTGTGAGCTGTTTGATGAATTAATGTGCTTATACGTACCTTTGTTTTTTTTTTTTTTTAGATGTTGGACATAGTAAATCAAGCATTATTCTCGGAATCCCCTCTCAACGATTTATTTTTGATGAATGGAGAATCTAAGCAAACATACGTTCACTCGCCAAAAATAAAGCAAAAAATCAAATCTGAATTTGAGGGCAGGCATTTTAACTGTGTTATGAACCTCGCTGTAATGGTGAGAAAGTCAAAGAACGAGATCCTGTATGCTGAGGCTGAGCATGACTTTGTTGATTTTTTATGTAGGGTTCTCACAACACCTTATGCATCTATTCTAGAGCTATTTGGTAAGAAATTTGTTTACCAAAGTGTGAATGAGCTCAATTCATTGGGGTTCACAAGGCCTTCACGCACTCCCTTTGCTTGTATAAGAGATCTAATAATATCCTCTAATAATATTGGTGGATTTGTGAGGAGTTCATCACTATTTACGGTATGGAATGATCTGCAAGTGACACCATGTGGAAATACTTCTGGCATTTCCTTTCTTCAAAAGCTGAATGTACCATTGGATGATCTGCAGAAACATGTGGTGAGCATTGGGGAGACAGAGGTAACAAATACATTTTTTGGACTAATTTTATCTTTTACTTTGAATATTGATACTTTAAAATTTAATGATTATTAATGAATTTACTGAGAATTATTATTGGTTTAAAGTCTGACTTACATTATCTCTAAATGGTCAGGCACTAAACTTGTTGTGGGCTTCTTTGACTACCAAAGAAGCTTTGAGCCAAGGCCTGTCTTACCTTTGGAAGAAACCAGAGGAGGAAACTAAAGCTGGTAACCTCAGGTTTGAGTGAATTCAATGGTGTTTGATTTTATTTTTTTTCCGTCAATTGGTGTTGTGATTTTTAAACTCCCTTTTCTGAATATTATATTCTATTTTAATTATAACATTTATCCCTTATCACACAAACTTGTTAGCTACGTTTTCACGTAATATTATTAGCTTGATTGAATTCTTCTCTTTTTGTAAAATCACTCGAGTAAATGCTATTAGTGACGTTGAATATTGATCATAAGACGAGTGAAGAACTATTGCTAAGGACTTTCATTATTTTGTTTTAAAAAAATATTAAATGCAAAAATATTAAATAATAATAATTATAGAATATTGTACCTAAAATCTCTATCTCTTTCGCGCATGATAAATCTCTGAAAAGAAACTTAAAATCTTATTTTGGGGTCTCTTTGTTAAAAGAACCAGCCCAATTCATGAATCATCCTGAAGAAAAGACAGATGGGCTAACATATATTTTTGACTTTTGCAGGTTTTAAAAGGCCAAATTATGACCCAATGGACGCAGCTATCTCAGAAGGGAAAATTGAAAAAACAAAAAGACAAAAGAGAGAGGTTGTGGAGCTGAAATTGGAAAGTAGAGAGGGGGCCTGGCTATAAGAAGAGAAGAATTTTAAAGGATAAAATAGGGTGCTCTTAGTTTTGTCTGAAGGGTTTTTATTTTGTGCTTTTTAGGTATTTTTATTTTGAAAGGTTATAACAGAGCTCATAATATGGTGTATCTTCTGGGATAATTTTATTTGATTTTTGTTTAATTTTTTATTGCTTTTCTTGTTACTGTTTTTGCATGCTCATAACCCTATGGGTATGAGCTAAAGAACACCACAGGTGTGGGGAAGACTGAGTACCCATCGCCCTTTGTTATTGAAATTTTTTATTTTTAATATAAATCCTGTTTGATTGCAAGTAGATTTTAAGGTAAAATTGTTTGTTTTCATGCCAAAAGCATGCAATTAATTTTAAGTGTTAGTTGTAGAGAAACAACGAACATTAGAACTCACTTCAAGCATATGGACACTAAATAAGAGATTATTTAGTGGATATGAAACTTTAGAGATGGAGTTCATCACCATACAACTTATGGGATGGTATTAAATGACTTTAAAATTCGCAGTTGCAGTGAAAATATGTGGGCTGTAATTTTAAGAAAAAAATGCTATGTGTTGAGAAACATTAGCAACATAAATCCCATGTTGAACTGAAAATGTTGAGAAGCAACTTACTTTTTCATGCGTTCTAGCTCTGGTGTTTGGAGAAAACCTGAACCTGCTTCTGCTCCTTTGTTTTTAATCAAGTTTCTACACTTTAACTCATCCATTATTATTCATCAGCATCTCTGATTTTAAAGTTTATTAATCCTTTTAGAAGAAATATTTATATATTTCCTAGCTGATAGAGACTTTCATCTGTTTATTGTAATAGCTTATTTAAATTTTGAATTTCAACTATAAAATTTCAAAAACAATTTTCTGCTTCAGCCTTTTTATTTTAGTTTTAGACTTCCTTGCAACATGAAAGGTGCCATGATCCTGATGGAAACAATACTTGGGTCTCAAATATATCTTATATTATTTATTGCGTATACTTGCACCTACTTGCACAAATATTAGTAAAACAACAGCGCACTCGTTTTATTATATAAATATTTTGCATTATTGCATTTTCTCGTCCTATAATCACTTTTTTAAATCCTTAAGTTACATTTGATACAAAAAAAATAATATTATGGCTCATAAAAGCGTAATAAGCTTTATCTAAATTAGATTTTGAGTGCTCAATATTAGGTATTTTTTTAATATTTTAATAAAAATGAATAAGTGATGATTTATATACATTATACAAGCTGATTTTTTGTTTGAGTTTGAAACTCTGAATATATATAATCATTAATTAATGTGAATAATAATATTAATTTTATCATCAATTCATGATGGGAATAAAAGTAATCTTAATATATGTGACTATGTTCCCTTCGCATTCATGTTATGCATACAATTAATTATTCCACAATTCAAAATTATGAAAAGGAAATTTAAAAAAAATATGTAATTATTAATATAGTCTCGTCTAACCATTTAAGTTTTTTGATTAAAGTAATTTTTTATTAAATATAAGATTCATCATCCAACTAGCAAATTTTTTCGGTTGAAATAATTTTTTAGCATAAATAATATAAACTGCAGAGCAAGCCTTAACGTTTTGAAGTCTAAAGGATTATATGATAAAACACGACAATTACAGAAGAATGGGTTAGTCACGTGTATGTATGCTAGTGAAAAAAAAAAACCCCTTTCTATCAAAGTTTTGTCGTCTGTGGATCATCGAAGCTCTCATGGGGGTTTCTACAGATAATAACATCGAGTTACTGTCTATGTCAAGAAAGAGTACCAAGTGAACAAAGAATGGTGAAGAAATTCCAACGGAATCATTGATTCGGGAAGCTATTAAGAGCTTTCAAGTTGAAGCTACAATGAACGATAAACAAAAATCCTTTGCAAAAGTCACCAGCAAGGAGAATGCTGTGTCGGGAGACAATACACCTTGGTTAGTGAGAGCAAACGTGAAAACAGTAAGGTAATAGCAATTTTTTTGTAGAAATAAGAGCAGTTGAGATCAGGGCAGAAAACAAAGAGCAATTGAAAGTTGTGTGTTTGATGAATTGTTGATTTGTTAATACAACTTAGTAAAATAGCAAAGAAAGCAGAGGTATGGTGTTAAAAAGTGATAAAAAGACATAGGCTAAGTTCAGTATTTTCCCCTCACTAGGTTGCTTCTGAGACTCAACACTGCTCCCATAAATGGGTTTTACTTCGGGTGCTCTTCATATTGCCTTGGATACAAATTTCTCTAGTAGCAAGTTTTGCTACCTAAAGTGGTGTGGTATGTTCATATCTATATGCCTAAACAACCTTAAGAGTCCCATTAACTTAAGACCCAAGGAAGATTGTGCTAGCTCCTTATTTCTAAGGTAGAATGCAGAAGATGCTAAAAACAACTCTAAACACAAGATATGCTCCTCGTTCTGGAAATCCCTCTCGCTAGAGAGCCAATCTTCTAAAATTTCCCTCAACGCTAGTTAACCGGTGCAGTAATACAGAAACATCTCAAAATCCGTTAATGGTGGCAAGCTTTCATTACAGGCTCAACCTAAAGGGATACTTCTACATCCCTTTGCCTACTAAAAAGAACTTAGCCCATACTATAGAATCAACAATAGGAGACTGGAAATGGACCTACCTCTCAACCTTTCTTGATACTGTAACTCTTACTAGATTGAAAGCAATTGTTCCCCATTTTTCTAGTGATGCTTCTGATTGCTTAAAGTGGAAGAGGAGCAGCTGAAATAAATCTTTTGTGAAAAATGTCTATTGTCATCTCACAGAGACCAACACCAGTGATGATAAGCTTTGGTTTTCTATCTGGAAGTGGAAAGGCCTTTCAAAATTGCAGTCTTCTTATGGATGGCTTGTTTGAATAAACTTCATGTTAAAGACAAAACTTGAAAGTGAAGGTGATCATCTATATCATTCTTGCCAGATTTTGCCTGAAATTATCATCCATACTCTTAAAGACTTTAGTTTTGTTAGAAATATTTGGGAGAGATGATTTGCTGAAGATATCACTCTTAATTTCTTCTCTGCAGATTGTGAAACTTGGTCCAAACTTAATCTCTTCAGTCCATCTCCATCAACTTTTGGCCTTCTTGGAAGGAAGCGTTTTATATGACATGTTGGTTTCTTTGGCAAAGGAGAAACCCTACTGTTCACGAAGAGAATTTCTCTAAACCTCAAGATCCTAACCATCGTATTCTCTTTTACCCGATTGATATGAAGAATTGCAATGGAGCTACTCCTTTTACTGATAATTTTGTCTTGCCTAGTTTTTATTGCTTTTCTGGGCAGAATAATCACCAAACTAGCGCCAAATTGTTTGTGGATGGAGCATTCAACACATCTAGTAACAAAGGTGCTTGTGGTGGTTTTATTTATTCTTCCTCTAGAGATTAGATGAGTGGCTTTGTCTTTAATATTGGCCCTTGTTCCGCTTTGGAAGCTGAATTATGGGATTTGCTGCAAGGTTTAATTCTTGCTAGTAATCTAAATTGCTCTAATATTTGGCTTAGATGTGATTCCAAATAAGCTTTGCTTTGCTCAAAGACCCAATCAGCTATTTGTGGTTACTCCTCTCTAACTAATCATATTAAAAGTGATGCTCAAGTCTTTGATTGTCTTCATCCGGAATATGTTCCTAGGGAGATTAATAATTGTGCGGATAGTTTAGCCAAGCTTGATTTTTCTTTCCATGTTGAGGAGCCAGTGTATATTTCTTCTCCCCAAGCTAGCATTCTTCCTTTTTGGAATGTAGTTATATCTAAATTGACGATGGAGCATGTTACTTCTGAAATGCAACATCTCTCTTTGTAGTTTCTTTTGGACTTTGTCCACCACTTTTATAAAAAAAAATGACAATTTCTTAAAATCCCAAAAATCATGTCTAATGTAATCTTATCTATCTGTTCTTATAACCTCTCTATTTCTTTTAAACATGGAATCCTATTCAATTCGGTAAGCTTTAACCATTATAGATTTACATAGAGTACAGTTAATTAGCACCAAATTATCATTTCATTTTTCAAAGCGAGGAATTTTGGTAGTGAATTTTTTTATATAAAAAAAAAACTCTTAATAACTCTAATGTGGCTTTAATGCATAGAAAATATGGATAACTATCTGATAATGTAACAAAACATACGAGGGTAAAGTGTTAATTTTTATACTGTGGGGGCAAAGTAATTTTATTTAGTAGTGGCTTTAAATAGTGCGTATCTTTCCCGTGATGGGGTCAAACGACCATTTCATCGAAGGAAGTCTTTTTCTATTCTTTTTGAGTTTAGTACCTGTGGATATTTTTTAAGAACGATTTAAATCAAATTCACGAAAAGAAATTATACAATGATTTATTTTAACAAAATTACTCGAGATGAGATCGTAGCTCTAGAGTATATGGAATGAAAATATTCTTGACCGAGGTGTTAAACTGAGTTTTTGGTGAGTTAGCCAAACATATAAAAGCTACGCTAAGGCCAATAATTTAACATGTGAGGATTTTAAATCATGAATTCATTTTTATCAATTATCCACCACTTTTATTTATTCTTTACATTAGTACATTGAGAGCATTTTCTCATGCCTTATTTTAATATAAAACATGTTAGAATACTTCAAATATTTATAATTTTTAATGATGAATTCATAATTAATATCACGATGGTCTATATAAAATATTGATTAGCCTTAATCATAATTATATAATTTTTAATTACCGTATTAAAGAACAAAATAAAGAAAATAATTATTTTAATTGCTAGTCATTGTTTTTTTTATTAAAATTTATAGATAGCTGGAATATTCTCAAAAAGAAAAAAATATTTATCTTTTTAAAAAGACATAACTTGTGTCATTTCACTCTTATAAAGAAGTGAGACTTACATCTTTATTTTTTTTTGTTCACTCTCTTTTTTCAATGATCTATCTCTTTCTCTTATTTAAAATGACACAACTTTACATTTTTTAAAATAATACACACTTTTTCCTATATTAAAATGAGAAATGGAAAAAATTTCTCCCTATACACGAAAGTAATAATAAAAATCGTATCTAAGATAAAATCTAAATTAAATTCGATTGATGCTTTAACTATATTGTCTTAGACTATCATTAAAAAAACTATATTTGTTTGCGTCTTTTTTTTTTTCTTCAAGTTTGAAGTAAATGGGAATCCGCAATGGAAGCCGTTGATATGGTGTGGGACCCGTAAGCATGGACGGACGCTTTGTCGAAACCTGTGGAGCCCACAGACTGTGTGTGTTTCTTCGTCGACCTTTTCTTTTTGGTTTTGATTTTCGTTGCCGTTTTCTTCCTTTTGCTGCTTCTTTCTAAGTCACCTCCATTCCCCAATTTATTTACTTATTTAAATTTTAATTATATTTATTAATAAATATTTACGTGAAAAACTATATTTATAAATTATTTACAAATTTTTACAACTAAATTTTAATTATTTATTGTTGTTAATTTAACTGTTATAATTTTTTAAAAATTAAAATTGAAAAAAATTATACTTATAATCTATTTTTATTTATAAATTTTTACAATTATATTATAATAAATAATAACTATTAATTAATGAAAATTAAGCATTAAAATATAGTTGGAAGAAATTATAAATGAGCACTCCAGATTAGTCCCATAGCCGGCTCAAAGAGTCGAAGCTCGTGGGGATACCGGAGAGAGCCAACTCGTCGCAAAGAGATAATTAGAGTTGGGTAACTCCAAAAAAGAAATTATAAATGAAAATAAATTATAAATATAATATATTATTATTAAATATTAATTAATAAATATTATATAATAAATCATAATTATTAAATTAACAAAAATTAATAATTAAGATTTAATTAAAAAAATTTGAAAATATAATAACCCCGAGTATTTATATATTAATATTCTCTGTCATTGATTCTAGGATTCGTCCATCTTCGTTTTCGTCTAATTTTTCTGTTGCACGCTCTGTGTTCTTCTTCTTCTTCGTTCCCATGGAAAACGACACCACCACCGCCACCACCAATAACACCACCGCAACCGACAATAACACCACCGCCACCACCAAAGTGGGTTCAGGAGGTGGAGGAGAAGTCAAATCCAACAATCAAAGCCCTGAAGAAGAAATTTCTAATTTGAATGGCGAGGAACACATGCAAGAACAAGTGGAAGAACAAGAAGAAGATCGAGATGAAGATGATGAAGAACCAACTGGATCTGTACCCACCGCACGCCAACCTTCAAGAACCCCTTTCGCTAATCTCAGCCAGGTCGATGCTGACCTCGCCCTTGCCCGAACCCTTCAGGAACAGGTTCCCTTCTTCTTCTTCTTTCGATTCTATTACTTGTTTCTCTTTATTCCTTTTTTTGTGTGTGTTTGGTGGGTAAGGAAACGAGAATCAAGTCAATTATAATCTTTAGCAATTAAAATTGATCAAGTTCAATACGAATATTAAATAATCAAAATTATTTTCTTCATCAGAATGCTAAAAACTGCTTAAACCCCATACTCCTTACCAAAAATTTCTGACACTTACGCTTCTCGCTGTCATAGCTAGCAGTGGAGCATGGACTATCATTGTTTCTCTACTGTATATGTATTTAATGATAGCAGCCCAAGGACATGAAGATACCAGTCGTTAATATCTATGCTAAGGAAATTTAGTTTTACTGAAAGTGTATTAAAATGTAATTCTTTATTATATTTATGAATTTCAATACATAAAATAGCACCTGCATGTCCCTGACTTGCATTCTTTGTTTACAATTCCACATGTCTTTATCAAATAGCTACGTCTGTGTGTGACGAAGCTGTGCCGATTTAGCTTAGCTGTATAAAATTAACGACTATCCATTGAGCAGTTTCCTCTTTAGAGAGAAAAAATGAAAGACAAACTTCTCGCCAGGAACTTTGTGCCTCAAACATAGAAACCTCCCATTATTTAAAAATAACCTTTCTAATGTTGATCACCCTCCCCGAGCTTGATCACACAAAACCCAACCAGTCCCACAATGGAAGGACCCTAGACAGCTGACCTAGGTTTTATATCCTAAATCTTGATACCATGTAGAAATCTATAGACAGAGAGAAAGAGCATGAAAGATAAGGAATGAATGTTGTTGTATAATGGGATGCACATGCACTAGTTTTCGTTAGGCTCCCTACGTGTTTATTTATACTAATAAACCAAGTGAACTACAAGTATATTTACAGACAGGCGCAGTCTAATATACTCAACACATGCTAACTCTAAAGTCATGTATCACAAATACAGTTGATTTTTCTTTTGATTTTCTTACTCTTTCTGGTTTATATTGTGTGGTTTAACTGTTAAATAGGAAAGAGCATATATGATGCTGAGACTGAATAATGAAGGAAGCGACTATGGAAGTTGGGAAGGTGGAAGCTATTTGCATGATGATGGGGATGATTTTGATGATCTACATGACGGCACTGATGTGGATGAGGATGAGGATGAGGATGAGGATGAAGATGATAATGAGGAGGAATATGAGAATGAAGATGCATTTGATGTCAACGCTCATGGTAGTGCCGGAGAACATGATAATCCCATCATTGAGTATGACCCAGATGTATTTTCAAATGATGAAGCCTATGCAAGAGCATTACAAGAGGCTGAAGAGAGGGAAATGGCAGCTAGACTGTTGGCTCTTGCTGGGATAAATGATCGTAAGTTTTCTTGGCTATGAATGTAAATCTGAGGATTTTTATTTTATTTTTTGAAATTATCCGGTTAGAACCACTATTTCATTTTCAATTATAGGGGAGGTTGAGGACACAGATGAGCATGGTGCTAATTCTCAGGTAAAATCTCTATTTTATTTGTATGTGCATGCACACATACTCATGGACATATCTTTTTTTTATGTGCACTCAGACATACACATGGATGGTATACCAAACATTTAAAAGGTGTGAAACCTCAGTACCATATTAATAAGGTAATATTTCATGGTTATTAGGAAAATGGTACACTGGGTGGAGGTATTCAGTTTAGTTATGGACATATTAACATTTACTTCCTTCAAAACTTTGTTAGTATTACTTAGTTGATTTCATTTACATCTATCTTACTTGTTATGGATAAGACTAAATTCATATAATGTTGACTTAATGATTTATGTATTGTAGTTGAGGATGTTTTATATGATATTGTAGATACCATGGCGTGGAAAATCTATTAGTTCATTCTAAGTTCTAGAATATATTTTTGTTTCTTGTTCCCCCTTCTGGAGGCCAAAAAGGTAGTGGCTAAAGTACACAAAATTATGCATTGCTTGGCATGGATTCCTAGGATTGCACGAAGCTCTTTTATCTCAAAATAAACAACATACAGAACTCCCATCAACTTTGTCTCATCTGCATATAGTTTCCTGAATCCTGATGTAGAAAGAACCAAGAATAGTAGTGACAACTTGCAAAATATCTTAGTTTCTGGTGGACCTGCTGTCTGAATATCGTCCATATTATTAACAGAATCTGGTTCATTGGTTCCATACTTTCATGTGATTCACATTTTTATCCACGACTGCAGAGATGCGTATCTATTTTGAAAGTAGACAAAAAATTGGTGCTGATGCTAGTCCATGAGGCCATTGGATTAGCATCATTAGATCCATAGTAGGACCCTATGACTGTGTTTGCTTCTTCTGCATACACCCACTACTGTATGCATTAATTATCTCACTTTTTGAAGCTATTTTGTCAATATAATCCCCAAGATTTTTCATCAGCCTTTTTTTAAAGCCCATGATATCCAGTTTTGAGATCACGTCCCCATTACCTGCATTTTCTTCTTCTTCGTTGTTCTTGTCTATGAAAACTATGAATCTTTGCTGTTTTGCTTCAGCTGGGGTTAAAAGTGGTAAATTCGATGATGTTCTTTATTCTTGCTTGTTTTACCTTTTGATCTACTTGGATTTCAATCATCTGCAGCTGTTACGTTACAGTTCTATGACTTTCTCAGGCACGTTATCCGTAGTTTCTGCCTGTAAAGATGACCCAGTAGTTGTATTGAAAAAAGGTTTCTGTATATTGATATTGAATAAATTACATGAGTGTGTATTTATACAAGAAAGAATCGCTAAGAATGACTCAGCGATGACTAATCAATCCTAATCACAATCAATCCTAATCAATCATAATCAATCCTAATTAATAGGAAATAAAAACGGAAACATATTTGAATTCTGATTTTCTACACTCCCCCTCAAGTTGGGAGGTAAATGTTGATCATTCCCAACTTGCCAATCAAGTCTTTGAATGCTGGACGGTGTAGGCCCTTGGATATCTGCAGTTTGCTCTTTGGTTGGAACATATATCATACGCACACTTCCATCATCTAATTTTTCTTTGATGAAGTGACGATCAACTTCCACGTGCTTTGTTCGATCATGATGCACAGGATTTTGAGCAATGCTAACAGCTGCCTTGTTGTCACAATATAGTTTTATTGGTAGGGAATATGAAATCTTCAACTCTTGAAGAAGTCTTCTTAACCAGATTCCTTCACAAACTCCATGAGCTAAAGCTCGAAATTCTGCTTCAGCACTACTTCTTGCAACCACTATTTGCTTTTTGCTTCTCCAAGTAACAAGATTTCCCCACACATAGGTGCAATAGCCTGAGGTAGATCTCCTGTCTACTGATGAGCCTGCCCAATCTGCATCAGTGTAGATTTCAATTGTCCTTTTATACCCTTTTTTAAAGAATAATCCTCTTCCTGGAGTGTTCTTGAGGTATCTAAGCACCCTATAGACTGCACTAAGATGCTTCTCCTTGGGTGAGTGCATGAATTGACTAATCATACTCACCGCAAAGGCAATGTCAGGACGCGTATGAGATAAGTAAACTAGTTTACCAACCAATCGCTGATATTGTTCTTTATCCACCCCATTCCCATCTTCAATACCCAACTTGGTATTAGGTTCCACAGGTGTCTCAGCAGGCTTACACCCTAACATTCTTGTTTCCAACAAAAGATCTAGAACATATTTCTTTTGTGTGAGAGTGATGCCTGTTTTGCTCCTAGCAACTTCCATACCAGGGAAATATTTGAGAGTGCCAAGATCTTTGAGTTCAAATTGAGTTGCTAGAAATTTCGTCAAGGTGTTCAATTCCTCAATATTATCACCTGTAAGAATTATATCATCTACATATACAATAAGAATAGCAATTTTACCATCCTTAGAGTGTTTGTGGAAGAGAGTATGATCAGTCTGTGCTTGAATGAAGCCTCTTCTTTTGACTGCTTGTGTGAATTTGTCGAACCATTCTCTTGGAGACTGTTTCAATCCATATAGAGACTTTTTTAGTTTACACTGATCCATTTCCCTTTTCAAAACCAGGTGGAGGATCCATATATACTTCTTCATGTAAGTCACCATTTATGAATGCATTCTTCACATCTATCTGTTGCAGAGGCCAATCTAGGTTAGCAGCAAGAGATAAGAGAACTCGGATGGTATTGACTTTAGCAACCGGAGCAAAAGTCTCATGATAATCTATCTCATGAGTCTGAGTGAAACCCTTTGCAACCAATCTTGTCTTGTATCTGTTGATGCTATTATCTGCATTGAATTTTATTGTAAACACCCATTTGCATCCTACTGCCTGTTTTCCCTTGGGTAGGGTCACTATCTCCCAAGTTCCATTTCTGTCTAAAGCATTCATTTCTTCAAAGACAGCATCCCTCCATTTTTGATCATCGAGAGCCTCATGTATATTTCTCGGTATCTTTGTACTATCCAACATAGTATTAAAAGCACGGAACCCTGGGGACAACTTTCCATATGAAATATGATTAGAAATAGGATGAGTAGTACAAGATTGAGTACCTTTTCTGAGAGCAATAGGCAAGTGTAGATCATTTTCACCATGGCACTCAAGTGTTGGGGTGCTGGAACTAGAACATGGTTTAGAATCTTGGCAGTGTAAACACCCATTTGCATCCTACTGCCTGTTTTCCCTTGGGTAGGGTCACTATCTCCCAAGTTTCATTTCTGTCTAAAGCATTCATTTCTTCAAAGACAGCATCCCTCCATTTTTGATCATCGAGAGCCTCATGTATATTTCTCGGTATCTTTGTACTATCCAACATAGTATTGAAAGCACGGAACCCTGGGGACAACTTTCCATATGAAATATGATTAGAAATAGGATGAGTAGTACAAGATTGAGTACCTTTTCTGAGAGCAATAGGCAAGTGTAGATCATTTTCACCATGGCACTCAAGTGTTGGGGTGCTGGAACTAGAACATGGTTTAGAATCTTGGCAGTGTAGAGGCTCTGGGTTATTCACACTTTGAGGAGGCTTTCGCCTGCTATAAATTTGTCCCCATTTTGAGGAGGCTCCTGTTGGTGAGGATTCTGTAGCTCCTTCTGTTTCCAAAAGTAGAGGTAATACTGTGGTATTAGTAGGTTCCCATGACTGATCTTCATCTGTTTCTATAGACTCCCCCTGAAGAGAAGTCAAGGGGAAGAAAGGGTCATTCTCATAAAAGGTGACATCCATAGAGACAAAGACCTTACGAAGAGAGGGTGAATAACACTTATAGCCACGTTGAGTAGGAGAATAACCAATAAAGACACACCGGAGAGACTTAGGATCAAGCTTAGACCTTTGATGAGAGGGAATATGGACAAATACAACGCAACCAAATAACTTGAGAGGTAAGGAGGAGACGCCTCGGAAGGAAGGGAAGGTACGTAAAAGACTAGAAAGAGGAGACTGGAATTTTAGAATGCGAGATGACATTCTATTTATCAGATATGAGGCAGTGAGAACTGCTTCTCCCCAAAGATATTTAGGAACACTCGTGGTAAACATAAGAGCTCGAGCAACTTCAAGGAGATGTCGGTTTTTTCTTTCCGCAACTCCGTTTTGTTGGGGTGTGTCAGGACACGAGCTTTGGTGAAGGATGCCATGTTGGGAAAGATATTCTCCAAGAATAGAGTTAAAATACTCTTTGCCATTATCTGTACGAAGAATTTGTATAGCAACTTGGAATTGGGTTTGAACCATGGCATGGAATTTTTTAAACACGGATGCAGCCTCGAACTTGTCCTTTAGAAGATATACCTAACAAACTCGGGAATGGTCATCAATGAAGGTAATGAACCATCGAGTACCTGAAATATTTTTAACACGGGCTGGACCCCATATGTCACTGTGAATTAAGGAAAATGGGGAAGAGTCATGGTGAACTTTAGAAGGATAATGAGCACGAGTATGCTTGGCAAGTTGACAAATATCACAAGAAAACAAACTAGGATTTTTATTAATAAACAAGTTTGGTAACAACTTCTGAAGATAAATAAAATTTGGATGGCCTAGCCTACGGTGCCACAACATAACATCATTACATGAATCAAAAGGAAATAGAGAGTTTTTTTCTAAGAAAACAGCTTCATGAGTCACATCCTCCTCAAAGTAGTAAAGTCCACCATCCTCTCTAGCGCTGCCAATCATCCTATCTGAGTCATGTTCCTGAAAAACACAACCATGTTGAAAGAATTTAGCAAAACAATGCAACTCAGAAGTCAGCTTGCTTATGGAAATGAGATTACAAGCCAGAGAAGGAACATAAAGAACTGATGTCAAATTAATCAGCTCAGAAAGTTTAATGGTTCTGTGTCCCGCAATCTGGGAAAAACTGCCATCGGCGATCTTGACCCGAGAAGGTTCAGAATATGGAGTGTATGAACAAAACAAGCCAAGATTACCTGTCATATGATCAGAGGCTCCAGAATCAAGGATCCAATAATTTTGACTATCAACATGGAAAGTTGTACCTTGCTGGACCACATTACTAGTGGCCTTGGGAGGTTGAGTCAAAAGTCTCTGAAGTTGTTCAAACTGAGTCTTGCTAAGAAAGACACCATCAGAGTCAGAGGATGCATGAGGCTCATCAACCTTGTCATCAGTAGAGACCTGATATGCACGACCTTTATTTTGTCCTTTTGGCTTCCAATTTGCAGGTTTCCCGTGGATTTTCCAACATTTCTCACGGGTATGACCAATTTTATTGCAGTGGGTGCACCATGGACGACCATCCCGTTTTGATTCTCCAGAGGAACGGTCAATGGTATGGTTGGCAGCTAATGCAGACATATCATCAGACTTATCAATCGACTCCTTTTCTCCCAGCATAACTCTTCGTCTACTGGCTTCTGTACGAACTTCAGCAAAGGCGTCAGCAAGTGAGGGTAACGGTCGCTGCCCCAATATTCGACCACGAACCTCATCAAGATCTCGGTTGAGTCAGGCAAGGAAATCATGTAGTCTTTCCTTCTCCAAGTGTTTTTTAAATTGGGTATTCGCTTCCAATCCCTTAAGATCGGATGCATAATAAAGATCCAATTCCTGCCATAAATTTGTTAGTGCAGTAAAATATTCAGTAATAGTCATACCCCTTTGACGAAAGTCTCTCAACTTATTTCTCAGTTCAAAGACTTGAGAGGTATTCTCCAGATCTGAGTAATTTTGTTGAACAACATCCCAAATTTCCTTGGCAGTATCGAAGAACAAATAGGTTTGGCCAATCTGTGGTTCCATGGAATTAGTCAGCCAAGCCATGACCAAGGAATTATTAGTCTCCCAATTGTCATAATCAGGAGAATCCTCAGTAGGTTTCTTAATTTTTCCCTCGAGATAGCCCATCTTACCCTTTGCCCGGATGACCAACTTAACCGATTGAAACCATTGCAGAAAATTCTTACCGTTCAACCGGTCATAAGTGATCTGCAAACCTAAGTTGTCTCCAGAGGGCTGAGAATTTGGGGCAAATGAGGAGGCAGAAGAACGATTAGAGGAAGCCATGAATAGAAAGTGAAGGTTTGACCGTGCACCCAATTTTTTTTTTTTTTTTTTTCCGATTTTATATCTAACCACTGGAACAGGGACAGAAGAGGCCGACGAGGTGATCTAGGCAGCTCGCGCCGGAAAAAGAGTCCGGGAAGGCGGCGCGTGGACTACACGCGCTGGAGAGTGGCCGCCCGTGTGGCGGCGCGTGGGCGGTCTGACAGCGACGGGTCTGGCGGCGTTCAACTCGTCGGAGCCTTCTGAGTTGAATGGTACCTCTACCTTCTCGATTGGAGGTCTGTAGGTATGGTTTCTGGGATTTGGGTTTAGGTTGGATTGTGTTTGGGTTGTTTTTTGGATGATTTCAGCCTTAAAGGTGGCTGATTTAGGGTAGGAACGAACCCACTCTTGATACCATATTGAAAAAAGGTTTATGTATATTGATATTGAATAAATTACATGAGTGTGTATTTATACAAGAAAGAATCGCTAAGAATGACTCAACGATGACTAATCAATCATAATCAATCCTAATTAATAGGAAATAAAAACGGAAACATATTTGAATTCTGATTTTCTACAAGTTGAATTTGATGTCATTATGGATCTACCTAAGGCCGGGGGAGGAGTGCTATAGGACTTTATAAGACCGAGAGACCCTTAGGAAGGGGAGATCATTCCAACTAAAATTGTCAACTTTGATTGTGATTACATTGATATAGTGGTTTTATGTGGTAGCAAGAGGGAATCAATGGTTTAGAAGTCAAATCGGTCTCAAATTGCTGAGTGTCAATTGTTCTACGGTCATCAACTGTTTTTTTCATCTTCCATTCATGATAGTATAGTGCATACGCCAAAAATTTGTAAATTATTTAATTGCACCAAATTAACTCTGGTGGCTCTGGATATATTTCACCCAGCTTCATTTTCAAACCTAAATTTCTTACAGAGATCTGTTCATATGGTTGCATGGTTAAAGGCTGTTATTTGGTCATATGATGCTTATTTGTTAGGTTCCTTTTATTGGTTTTAACATGGTCAGATAGAAGGGCAATTGAGACATTGTGAAATATTCATGTGTATAAACTGCCCTGGAAAATATACATGTGAAGCAAAGTTGAAGGGTTAAACTTTCCTAAATGATAGATTGGTTGAACTTAATTGCTTACTGCCTTTATTGGAAACAAGTTTCTGCATGCATATGTGTGCTCACAGAACAGTGAAAATAGTATGCACATGCACAATTATACATGTGTTTCTTTTGCCAATTAATATACACTTTGATCATCTTAATGATTATTTCCATATGGTGAGATGAGATTAATTTCTTATAGGAATTTTAAATGTCGGTCACATATGTTTTTGCTCGTAAAATGAATCTTTTGAAAAATATTATGCTGGTGGATTCTTGAGGCAGGTCTTAAATATTTAAGAACTAACATTCCTTAATGATTAAATTGGTGAGAAGCATTTTATCTTTTTTGTTTCATTTATGAATTATGTTTAATATCATGTGATTTTTTTTTTGCTGTTGTTTACTGTGAATGCTTTATCACATATGTAATTTAGCCAAACTTTGATAAATAATTTGTATTTAAAATTAGAGGTCTGCTATTTAGGGCACAGCTTTTGCACTGGAAACAAATAAGGATGCAACCAAAGCCATTGGATGACAGGTTATGGTGGGGACCATTTATCGTCCAGGGCTTATCTTTGTGACAAAGGAGACTGCTCTTGCTATATCAAAGAAAGTCACAACATTGAAAAAAACTTTTATAATTTGTAAAGAATAAAAATTGATAATACTATAGTTTATAAAGTCTGTACCATAAAAAATTCAGTAACTACTACTAAGTTTCTAAATCCTAACTAGTAACTAGAAAAAACTATAAAACAGGAGACCAATGGAAGAGGGGAAAAAAGGAACGAAAGAGTTGCAAGACAGAGCAATACCTAACGGAACAAACAGGGGAGCATCTGCTCAAGGAAAAAGCTAGCAGAGAAAGGCTGGAACTGGTTGAGGGAGAAGTAGCAAGGCCCATAGTAATTTGAATTACGGTTGAGGATCTGAAGCCCCACCTCTGTGCAATGGACCTAAATTTGCAAGTTTGCCATCAATAATTCCTTAAAAATTTATTTGTGAATGACGATGGACCTAGAGTTCCTGGATTAGGTGCAGCACATACGATGACGGTGGGTTTTAGTGATGTTAAAACATGGACTTTGTCTCCCTTTTTAGAATAGTGGCTGCTATTACAGTCCCTGTTGCTGTGTCCTAGCCCGCTACTCTAAAATACTCCCTCGTGAGCATTTACTCCCGAAGTTTGAGGGCATATTAATATCTTTGGACCAACAATATGCTTAATTGCTTCGATTTTAAGTCAAAATTGCTATTGCTGATGTTACTTCATCTTATATTCTTATTTATTAAATGTGTGATGCACTTAAGATTGGCTTAGAAATATTCTTATCTATCTGTGCCATGTGTGAGATTGGCTGCTTCAACATTAATGTGTCTTTGTAATATCACACTTTAATCATGCTGGATTGATTTTGCTACTCTTTTTTTGGATTGTAGCATTTAACCGTACAACTCATGTGCTACTGTTAACTCAATTCTATAAATGCTTCTAATTGACTACCTGATTCTGCAGGATGCATGGGAGGATGTTGATCCAGATGAACTTTCATATGAGGTGACTTTAATATATACCGGAAGTTTGTTTCATGCCCCACATCCTCCCTGTACACTTTCATCTCATGTTTTAATAGTAAGATTCAAATTATTTCAGGAACTACTTGCATTGGGTGAAGTAGTTGGAACTGAGAGCAGAGGTCTTTCAACTGATACTATTGCCTGTTTGCCTTCGGTGAAGTACAAGACCGGGAGTGATCAACATGGAAGCAGTGATTCGTATGTGCAAATTGTTACTTCTAACCTTAGCTGTAATCATGATATACCATGGTTCCTTATTTTTGCATTCCTGTTTCAGGTGCGTCATTTGCCGGGTGGACTATGAGGATGGTGAGTCCTTGACAGTTCTTTCCTGCAAACATCTTTACCATCCTGAGTGCATTAACAACTGGTTGAAAATAAACAAGGTATGATTATACCCTTCCTCAATAATGTTTTTATCACTAAGGCACGCCTTATTGGCAAATCCTTTTTGGCTTGAAATATGAATAAATCACATGTCTATTTACCCTGTTGCCACCTATTAAAAGAACAAATCAGGTTTTAGACCACTTTAAGTTAGTAGAGGTGAAGCATGGATGATTGTTCCGCCTCATTTTCAGGACACAGCATATCTTTACTTATTTCATGAATCTCCCTTTTTGCTTAAATATCATGATAAATGTCTAGTTTTCTACTAGTTCAGATGTCCCATTTACAAAATCTAATGGTAACATGTATCAATAATTCATAAATTGCCCTGTCATTTTGATCAAATTTGAATTAGTTTCTTGAGAGTTATTTGCAGTGGAGAAGCTGTGGCGTAACCGTGGGTTCTTTGTCTGCAGGTTTGCCCTGTTTGCAGTACTGAGGTATCTGCGTCTGGGAGCAGCTTGTAGGTGGATTAATAGCTGCTCTTCGCTTCAAATTGAAGAAAATTTATGCAAGTTGGGGGCTATTATCTCTTATTTTAGTAGCATTGCCATGTTGTGGAGATAGTCTGTGCTTTGTTGTATCCAGCTCCTTCAGTAATGTAACATGTTACACTTGGAATCAGCTCTCTGGATTGTGTCTTTTTTAAATGAAATGACTGACACTATAGTCGTCATTTTTTTTTTTTCTGCAGTTCTTAATTTACTGGGTCTGAGGGGATAAACTGGGCTAGTTATTGTGGCTTGCTACTGCAAGAGGGGATTCGTGACAGTGGTGTTTTATGTCAAACAAAGCATTATTTAATAGTCCCAATGATTTTGGGAAGTGGGGTGGGGATCCGCATTTCATTTATGGATATGATTACTGGGAACGTAAAGTGGCCGCAAATTTTTTTTAAAAAAAATTAAATAAAATTAATAGAAACAAGTAAAACAACAAATTAAATGAAAAATTGTAGGGGACCTGATCCTTGTCTTCAATTTGGGGATCTGATTTAGTTGTTGAACTTCGGAGATGTAATGGGCTCAAATTTCTGTTACAAAAGTCACCAATGGCTGTAATGACGTACAGTGAGTTTCTTGATTGCTCCCCGTGTTACGATGGCATTTTTCATTAATCAATTGAACTGAGATACTACTAGGTTCTCTAAGTTTTGCTTCATTATTTGCCTTCGAAAGAATTGGGTGCCCAGATTCTACCTTGTTTCTATATAAATCATCCCATGAAAAGATTGTTTTCCTCTATTGTATGCAATTCCAAGCAGCACCGAAAGAATTTAGAGCAGGGCATTGATATATATTTTAAAATTTATCATCGAAGTGAGACTATATATTAAAATAAAATATAGATTTGAAATTTAGGAGGAGGCAATAGGCCACCCTAACTCCCTTCCGTCGACCTGCTGTCAATGATAATGGAATGTAGCGCTGGAAACCCAAAGCAAGATCCGATCAGAGTGCTATAAATCTATAATGGTATTCTTCTTCCGCCACCAATTTGACAAGTAACATATATCTTAATTCCAGAGCTCTCATTCTCTTAGTAGGCAACTTATTACTGGACTGTCGCGGATGTGTTTTTTTTTTTTTTTTTTTTTTTTTCTGTACATTTATTTCTGTCCCAAATCCATCAATTTAACATGTACAACATGTTATTCCTTCAGCAATAGCAAGAAATGGTTGACTCCATTTGATTAACTTTTCTCTTCCAACATTTCACATAAAATGTGTAGGAATTTTTCCCTCTTCCATTAGAACTAGGATTCCTGAGGACGTTCTATGATCCTTAGAAAATTTGACTATTGCATCTATTGCAATGGAGTAATTTTTATCATGGGATTCTGGAAAATATCCTGAATCAACCATCTCTTTAAAAACCTCAAATGCAGAGGTCAAATTCAGATCAGATAGAAAAGCACTTAGCAATGTAACATAAATGAAGGAGTCAGCTTTCATTTCTTTCTGTTCCATCTCACGAAAATAACGAAGTGCTGAAGTTGGCCTAAAGCATTTGCAAAGACCATGAATAAGTGCCATATATGCAATTCGATTTGGAGGACAACCTTTTGTTTCCATCTGATTCCAAACCAAGAGAGCATCATCAGGCCTTTCTGCTCTGCATAACCCGTCCACTAAAGTTGAGTATGTAATGACATTGGGTTCCCTGTCTTCTTCAGACATTCTGGAAAGAAGAGCCATAGCCTTATCAATAGAACCATTTTTGCACCAACTATCTATAAACAGATTGTAGGTCACAACTGAGGGAGAAAGACCCCTTTCAACAATCTCATCCAACAAATTTTCAGCCTCTGTGACTCTGTTGGCCTTGCAGAGCCCCCTTATCAATATGTTATATGCAACCACATCAGGACAGTGGCCACGAGAACACAACTCCCTGAATAAGTTCAATGCTTGATCCACTTCTTGAATCTTGATCAAGCCACCAATTGCTGCAGAATAGCAAACTATATCAGGAAGGAAACCTTGTTGAACCATTTTGTCAAGAAAGTCACGTGCTTCTACAGCCCTCCCATGATCACATAGCTCTTTCACAAGAAGGGTGGAATGTTTTATCCATGGTTCATGACCGCATGCCCGCATCTCCTTCAACATATTGACTGCTCCTAAAACATCCTTTCTTTTACACAGGCAACCATATATTGAGTTGTAAGTGAAATGAGTTGGTTCAATTCCTGATTCTTTCATCTCGCTCAAGAGCTCGCGGCTTTCCTCCAATCTATTCGAATTGCAGAGACCATTGATCAGATTGTTGTAAATCAAAACATTTGGTTTACCAATAAACCGTTGCATATCATTGAAGAGGTGCAGGGCAAGGTCCAATTGACCACTTTTGAGGAAGCCATCAATTACAATGCTAAAGGAAGTGGTATTCGGAAAAACCAATCTCTTGACCTTGAGGAAAGTATCCATCTGGGCATCAGTACTACTATATTTGCTTTGAATCATCATCTTAAGAAGGTGATAAGCTTTATCCATCAACCCGTCACTGACATAACCAGTCAAAACAGCATTGTAAACCAAAACAAGAGTTTGGTCATCTTCCTCTTCCAGAATTTCTTCTAGTAATCTGACAATCATGCTTGTGTCCGAAAAAGACGATATCAACTTTGTAAGGATTCCAACATCAGGTTGAACACCAAATTCCTTCATTTCCGAAAGCAAGGCCAAAGCTCTGTGAGTGTCTTTACTTCTGCACAGTCCTCCAATCAGAACATCACACAAGGAAACATGAGGAGTGAAACCAGCCTTGCGCATTTTATCAAACAACTGGAGGGCTTTATCCACGCGGGACTCTTTGACAAACCCATGAATCAAAACACAAAAAGTCTTTTCATTTAGTCTCATTCCTTGTTCATCCATCCTCTCCACCAACTCAAACGCCTTATCCACCTCACCCCACTTGCTAAAAGACAAGGCCAGCATAGAGTAAACACGTTCATCAACCCAACCCTTCTCCCGCATTATATTGTACATACTCAAAGCTTGTTCAAACATGCGTGCATTGCAATAAACTTGCATCACCGGGGTCAGGGTGTACTTATCAATTTCCCCCCCAAACACCCGCATCTCTTTTAACCTCTTCTCCATCAAGTCAACGCAGCCAGACTCTGACTTTGACTTTGATATAGCCTCTAACAAACAATTGTAACAATAATCATTGGGAGCGCAAAGACCCTTCATTTTCATTTCATCAAACACCTCGTTGGCTTCTTGCACCAACCCAACGCTGCCCAGACACCGAATGAAGAAACCCAACGCGCCAGGGGTAAAGGAACAAGGTGAATTTGTGATGTCTTTAGCGAGGGTTTTGAGTTGAGCGCTCTGGTGGGAACGGGACAAGATTGAAGCCATGGCATTGTAGGTGTAGCAACTGTGGCGATAGCCATGTTGGTGTTGGTTGGAGGCCCAGTTGAAGAAGGTTTGAGCGACTTTCCAGCTGCGGAGGCGCGTGAGGACGGTTTCCACGTGGTGAGAGGTGAGAATGGGTGCCACCCGGTTCAGTTGTTCAGTGGTGTTAATGTCGCTGTTGGGTCCTTTGGTGAAGATGGAGATGAGGGTATCCACCACCACAAGTGTGGAAGAATCAGAACCATAACCAGAATGGGTAGTGGTGAACGAAATGGAACAAGAATAATGGAATTTGGAGAACCTGAGACACTTGAATGCCATCAGGCTGACGATGATGTCGTTAACTTACCTGTTTTCTCATTCTTCTTTATAGTTTGGTACTTGTGGAGGGACACTTCAAAATATTTTACTCGTGTATCCAACACTTCTCGATATTTTTTCCATATTTCATTTCGATTTTCTCCTGCACTACCCATTTTGGTGCATAGTACAATATAAGGGCTGATAGTATAAGACTTGATAGTATAAGACCTGATTAAATTTTAATATTATCAAGTGTTTGGTATGATATTGTATAAGATAATATCTTTCAATATTAAAAAAATTAGTTCTTGAGAATTGTACTTGTAATCAATATTAATACATCAACCCCTTATCAGGCCTAATCCACCACTTCTAGGCCGGATTAAGTTATACATCATTTTGATGTATAAATGGGTCATGCTGTATAAGCTTATACTATACGATGGTCACACCAAACAACTGAAAATGTCATAACTTATAGTATAAGCTTATACTATCAAGCCTTATACATCACACTAAACAGGCCCTTTGACACTCTCAAAACTCACATTGTACCGACTCAAAAAAATTTCAAATTTTTAATTCCAACTATTAGATTAAGGTAAAAGATTTTTTCAGTCCCGTGAGCCTAAAATGACATCATTCTCGAACGGAAATCAAAGTGTCTTTAAATTTTGTGAACATAAAAATAAAAACAGTCTATCCCTCTATCATTCTTATAGCTTTTCTCCGTTCAGACATATCGTTCGCAAATTTATATCTCACTCCATTAATTCTTGTTTTACTATCTTTCTAAGTAAACTGAAGCTTCAAGATTATAATCAAATAATTCGTTTAAATTCAACAACTGCTGTTTTTATTTCTCTACATTTTTGCTCCTTTCTATGACGCACAGCCTTAAATAAAATATGCAGAAGGATAACCCCTTTCATATAAAAGTTCAGGACTCCTGAAGTAAATGAAAAAGTTCAGAACTGTTAAAAGAACAAGAGTAACATAATACAAAATGACATCATTAATATTTGGAGCCTTATTCAAACGTCCTTCCCTCTTTCACACATAAACCACTTCTTTGAGGAAGAGTTGGGGACAGGCAGCTGCATAGTTACAAGGTCTAAGAGTTAACACAGATTATTTTCATCTCTAATACAAAGAAAGATTTCATTAAAACATTCAGGCATTAGATACAGCATCATTTGACATGTTGTTCCCAGTCACATAGGTCTCAGCAGGACGAGGGAGGATCAGTATGGTTTGACCCTTTTCCTCAAAAGGAGACAAGTCATAATCATCCACGTTCAAGTTGTGGGAGGCGACCTGGTCCGAAACCTGGACATTACTCAACTTGTTGAGTATCTCGATAAAAAAAAATAGCTTTATCGCTGATCGCAAATAATGAACCTAATCCGAATTACAAGTCCTTGTAAGACTTCCTGAGTTCTGGGAGTAATATAAATTTTCAAATTAAAAAAACAAAGAAGCAATGATATTCAAATTAAAAAAAACTAGCTAGCAATACCATTTAGTGCAGCATTAAAACCAGCCTGTGGATTACTTGAACTATCCTGTGGATTACTTGAACCGGCAGCATTAACAGGGTAGTCAACTCCTCCCATAGGAGGAATAGTTACTCCTTGAAGTGAACTCATTCCATCTGCAGCTTCTTGTGGATCATGGGCAACAGCATTGTTGTCAGTGGTAGAGCTAGGGTTTATTGTTAGCTGTGGCTAAAAAGTTTAACATATCAAATTATCAAAATATTTTCGTAATTATACAAATCTATTATGAAAAAAGTTTACTTAAAATTTATAAAGTAATAGGATTGATGTTACTTTAACAAATAAAAAATATTTATTTAAAATTTAAAATATAATATAAAATTAGGGGAGGGATCATTTGACTCTAGAGTAAGACTTACAACTCTTACTCTCCATCTCAGCCGTTGATGGACGGAAATCAACGGTTGTCATTTATAGTGTAATTAATAATTAATTAATTAATATAACTTCTTAAATTGTAACCGTTGGATGGACGGAAATCAACGGTTAGGATGAGGAGTAAGACTTGTAAGTCTTACTCTGGAGTCAAATGATCTCTCCCCATAAAATTAAATTAGTGAAGAAAGTGCAAATTATATGCATATATACATATATGAAATTTTCATGTGACTTTTATGAATATTTTCATACGATCTTTATGAATATTATTTCATGTGATGTTAATGAGAATTTATTTCATATGATGTTAATGGAAATTTATTTTATGTGATATTAATGAAAATTTATTTCATGTGATCTTTGTGAATATTTTTTTTTATCTTTTATATTTTAATTTGGTTTGAGGCCTATAAACTTTAATTTGCAACTTGGTAGGCCTTATAAGTTGAATTAGATTTTTTAGTTTTTTAAAATAGGTCAGGCTAGACCTATAAATCAAGTCTTTAATAGACTAATAGGTCAGTATAGGCTCTAAATATTTTACATAGGCTTAAGCTTAGGCTATCAAAGTCAAAGCCTGGTCTAACTTGGCCCATTTATACCCCTAGTCGTGACATGTGAAGAACATCAACGTAGAGGGACAACAAACTTCACAATTAAAAAGAAACATGGAACAATCAGCAACAAATGTCTAAAATCATTTAAATGACATTGGTTCCAGATAAATCATTTAATCAATGTGTAGATATTTTAAAATTTTTAAAAATACAAAAAAAAGAAGTTGTTAATGAATATATACAAGAAATTTTCATACTCCATATATATACATATATCTTCATTTATTTTTCTCTTTAACAATTTCCATTGATTAATAGCCAAAATTCTCATTCCTGTTAACTCTACATTAAAATAATTTTTTTTTAAAAAAAAGATAAATATAAACCAGCACTCCATTTTTCAAAGGAAATAAAATTAATAAATACAACCGCACAAAAAAAGTTATAAATAAAAAAAAGGGGGAATGAATTTCACTCATGTTAAAAAACCCAATAAATAATTATGGTCAGCAAAAACAAAGAATTTCTCTTTTACAAGGTTCAAAAATATAAATCAATTTTTTCCCGAGCGGACAATATAATTACCAATGCATATTCCAAGAATATGTATTCCTAAAATCTTGAAAAAGGAACAAAACATTGTACCTTGTCACAGAATGGTTGGGTTCCGGGTGGTGAGAGTGAATAAGAAAAAAAAAGTTAGAAGAAAATCTTAATTGAAAAAAGATGAAAGAAGAAGAAGAAAGCAATTTGTTATATGATCATACAAGCAAAGCAGCTCCAAATCTTCGTATGTTACCATTGTTACTATTTTAGCGAGGACCAACTTACAATTTTAGTTAGGCCCAATTATAATTATTTATATAATTATATATAACAAATAAAATTTATTGAAATGTAGGCGGGGCCCAGGCCCCACCTAAATATAACGTGGCTACGCCACTGATTGTTGTCCACTCTTTCATCTACAACTTCTTGTGGATCACCAGCAACAACATTGTTGTCAACTCCTTGTGGATCACCGGCAACAGCATTGTTGTCAACTCCTACATTTCCAGGACACAACCTAATTCCTTTCCCTGTTTTCGCACGCACGTGCACTTTAATTCTTGAAACATTTCCCCTGAACTCATGATTACAACGCTTGCATCGCAATGTACCATCTTCCAATTTATCAACAAGATTCCAAAACGTAACTTCCTTTGGCCTACCCATGGTTCCTGAACAAAAAGTTTAAATAATTTATTTATGCATAGTATATTATACCACATATGACTCTCTTTATAGATAAAGAAAAGATAAGATTTTCACTTTTCAGTGTGTTAGTGTTGCAGAAATTTTACTTTTCTTAAAAAGAAATCATTGATAAAGAGTATGCATCATTTATTAAAAATCAGCAGAATGTAGAACAAAGAATGTTATAGAACATTAAGTGGCTTAATCATGAAAGTTGCAGTTGCAGATATACATAAATAGTACCTGCACTGTTCTTGGGTGTGTTGAAGCAATGACACAGAACGAACAGCTAAATTACTTGCCAAGACTCAAGAGATGTTGTTCTTCAGGTTATCTTTCTTAAGACCTTCTCCAAGAAATTTTATGGATCATGTTGCATCATTTCCCTTTTTAGGGAGTTAATGTCATAGTGTCACCCTTTTCTTGGGTCTTTGTTTGATTTCAATCCTGGTCGATTTCCCTCTTCAAGATTATTTCTGAAACTCTTTTTCCCAAGGTGTGCACTCTTCTTGACTGTTACACAAGCTATTTTTTGCTGGTAATGTAACAACCATAAGGGTTTAATTGAGAATTGCAAATCTTTTAAAAAAGGCCAAATTTCTTTTGAAAAACTGATTTTCAAGAATCTTTATTAATACGTAATGAATATGTAAGATAAAGAACAATTTTACAACAATGAAAAGAAACACAAAACAATGTATAAAGATTTCTGTGATAAAAATTCTTATGATACAGCAATATTTATAAAGATTTATTGGATTTTATTGTGAATTACTAATTAATTAATAAATTTGACTCAATAAACCTTAACCGTTGATTGACGGAAATCAACGGTTAGGATCTAAAATGACATAAGTTTAGATCCTTTAAAAGGACAAATACTTTTTCCATATTTATAATCAAGGAATGAAGTTAACTTCGTAGTGTCACCCTTTTTTTAGGGTTTTTGCTTGATTTCAATCCTGGTCGTTTTCCCTCTTCAAATTTATTTATGAAACTCTTTTTCAAGTACTACGAAAGGTTAAGTTTAAAATGCCATCAATTATTAATTACATTATATAAACAACAGATTCAATCCTAAATCCTAAAAAAAAAAAATGCATCTCAAATGATAATAAAATAATGAATGCCTAACAACCAAAATCATATAAAACCAACAAATCACATAAATCAATAATCAAACAGCATTATTTATAATTTACTTTTAGCAGGAAAAAAAATACTACTTACAATTTCAATCCAAATCTTCTTGTCTACTTCCCCATCCCCTTTCACCACTGTCCTGAGCAGACCCACCTGCACCAAGATGATAACTCAATGATATTCTAAAAGTCCTGTGAACAGGTCTGTTTCCCCCACCGCAATCGCAGCCAGCACCACCGCCCCCTCTGCCGTCATTACCATTACCAGCAGACCTCGACCCATCATCAGCGTTACCCTGCGTCCGATTCTCAAACTGCCATTAGTGAATACAAGGCACTGAAGGCAGAACATACATCTCAAAAGAGAGGCATGTCCCAATGCCCATAATTCTCTCAACCCTTTTTTTGTTTTAAACAAGACATCTAGGGATTTAATTTGACATATGATACGCCTCATTCCGTTGAGGAACGAAGGAGATATGATCATAATAATCTACTGCTCAAAAACTGTAGAAATCCTGCATTTCAGGATAGTCAGCCTTCATTCATCTTTGATATAGCCTCTAACAAACAATTGTAACAATAATCATTGGGAACGCAAAGACCCTTCATTTCCATTTCATCAAACACCTCGTTGGCTTCTTGCACCAACCCAATGCTGCCCAGACACCGAATGAAGAAACCCAACGCGCCAGGGGTAAAGGAACAAGGTGAATTCATGATGTCTTTGGCGAGGGTTTTGTCAATAATGAAGTACTGAAGTTGGCCTAAAGCATTTGCAAAGACCATGAATAAGTGCTATATATGCAATTCGATTTGGAGGACAACCTTTTGTTTCCATCTGATTCCAAACCAAGAGAGCATCATCAGGCCTTTCTGCTCTGCATAACCCGTCCACTAAAGTTGAGTATGTAATGACATTGGGTTCCCTGTCTTCTTCAGACATTCTGGAAAGAAGAGCCATAGCCTTATCAATAGAACCATTTTTGCACCAACTATCTATAAACAGATTGTAGGTCACAACTGAGGGAGAAAGACCCCTTTCAACAATCTCATCCAACAAATTTTCAGCCTCTATGACTCTGTTGGCCTTGCAGAGCCCCCTTATCAATATGTTATATGCAACCACATCAGGACAGTGGCCACGAGAACACAACTCCCTGAATAAGTTCAATGCTTGATCCACTTCTTGAATTTTGATCAAGCCACCAATTGCTGCAGAATAGCAAACTATATCAGGAAGGAAACTGATACAGAGGATACTCTCTGTAACTGAATAACTGAACCAACTTCTTTATTAACAAAGATCAATGATCTCACTTTACACTTGTCTTTCTATATATACATGCAAACTCTTCTAATGACACGACTACATATATGTTTCCCACTATTACACAAGACAGTTATTACACTATTATAACCAGCATTCACTTATACAAGGCCCATGGACCTATTCAACTATATCACATGGTCCACAACCCATGATGGGTAACCTTTTACCCTCTGCCCCTACCTTTTGCTTGTGTGACATCTCTAACATCATCCCTCCCTTCGAAAGCCATCTTGTCCTCAAGATTGGGATATGTGCGAAGCAATTCTTCAGCATTCTCCCAAGATGCATCTTCTGGTACCGTGGAGGACCATTGAACTAGTTTCTAGAGAACAATCTTTCCCCCTATTGTAATGGATCGTGATGCTAACACAGCCACAGGAACCTGAACTGGTTTGTTTTCAATACTCGATGATGGCAATGGTTCACAACTAGGATTAGAAGACCCATAAAAAGGTTTCAAAACAGAAATGTGAAAAGTAGGATGAATTAAACTTCCTGCAGGCAATTGGACCTTATAAGCTACAGGACTGATAACCTTTTCAATGGTGTAAGGACCAAAAAATCGTTTGGCCAATTTGTGATTTGATCGTCTGTCCACTGACATTTGACGATATGGTTGGAGTTTAATCAAGACTCGATCACCTACTTGAAAGAAACGCTCCTGGCGATGGCGGTCAGCTTGAGTTTTCATCCGTTGTTGAGCATTCTGCAACTGAATCTTAAGCAACTTCAATACCTCACCCCTCTGCTGCAACATCATATCCACCGCTTCAACCTGAACTGAGTCTTTCTGATAGTGAGGAATGAGAGTGGGAACCTTGCCATAAACCGCTTGAAAAAGGGACATGAGGATTGCTGAATGTATAGATGTATTATAATGCAACTCAGCCTAACCATTGAGACCATTTAGTGTTCTGCTCAAAACAAAAAGCGCGCAAGTACTGTTCCAAATATCGGTTGGTAACTTCGGTTTGGCCATCAGTTTGCGGGTGGTAAGAGGAGCTGGCCAGTAGTTGAGTGCCACTTAATTGAAATAATTGTTTCCAGAATTTACTCATGAAAATGGGGTCCCTGTCAGACACCAATGATCTGGGAAAGCCATGATGTTTAACAACCATATCACAAAACAAGGCAACTATTGTTGCTGCTGTGTGAGATGTGTGTAGAGGTCCAAAATGACCATATTTAGACAAACGATCAACTACTACCAATATGGTTGTAAAACCATTGGATTTGGGGCAATGCGATGATAAAATCAAGTGTTAAGTCATCAAATATTGCATCTGGTATTTTTAAGGGTTGGAACAGTCCAAGAGGTACCTGTGTAGAACTCTTAATCTGCTGGCAAATGGAACATTCATTCACAAAGGCCTTGACATCTGTCCTCATGTTTTTCCACATAAAAGAAGTAGACAAACGAAGAAAGGTTCTGTGAACACCTGCATGTCCTCCCATTGGAGTACAGTGTGCCTCTTGTAATAAAAGGACCTTCAGTGTAGAATTAGAACCCAACATGCATCTGTTGTTGTTGAATATCATGCCATCTCTTCTCGATATAGCAGGATTGACTTGCGATCCATCATCCAAGGATTGATGAATGGCTGTGAGTTCAGCATCAATATGATTTTCCTCCTTTATTTTCAACCAAATATCTAAGGAAGGTACTGACCGAAAGGCACAACATGTACTGTTTTCCTCTTCTGGAAATTGTCTTGATAAGGCATCAACCACTATATTTGAAGAGCCAGACTTATACTCAATACTAAAATTGTACCCCATTAGCTTATAGGCATAATTTTGTTGTTCAGGTGTCTGAATGGTTTGCCTCAAGAGTTCTCTTAGACTTTGGTGGTCAGTCTTGATGATGAAATGAGAACCTAGGAGATAATGGCGCCATTTTTTGATTGCTTCTGTTATAGCATATAGCTCTCGGACATAAGCAGAAGCCACAACCATTCGAGGTCCTAAACGTTTGCTGAAATATGAGACTGGTTTGTTGCCTTGTAGTAACACTGCCCCAACTCCTATATTGGATGCATCTGATTCAACTATAAAGATGAGGTGAAGTCAGGTAATTGCAAGACTGAAGTAGTTGACATTGCTTCTTTCAAGGTTTGGAAAGCAGCAGCTGTATCTGCAGTCCAATCCCATTTATCCTTCTTCAATAAATCAGTAAGGGGTTGGGCCAAAGAAGCATACCCTTGAATAAATCTTCTGTAATAGCCTGTGAGCCCCAAAAATGCATGGAGTTGCTTGATGGATTTGGGAGTTGGCCAACCAAGCATAGCCTCAATCTTCGCAGGATCAGCTTTAACACCCTTGGCTGTCACCACATGACCCAAATATGAAATCTCACTCACCCCAAAGTCACATTTGCTTAATTTGACAAAAAAAGAATTGTCACTTAAGCAATGTAAAGCTGCTGCCAAATGCTGTATGTGATCTGTCATAGAAGAGCTGTAGATTAAAACATCATCAAAGAAAACTACAATAAATTTGCGAAGGAATGGCCTAAAAATTTTATTCATGGTGGCTTGAAAAGTCGCAGGAGCATTTGTTAAGCCAAATGGCATAACCTTGAACTCATAGTGTCCTTCATGAGTTCTAAATGCTGTCTTATGTATATCATCTTGCTTCATACGGATTTGGTGGTACCCTGAACGAAGATCCAGCTTGCTAAACAGTTGAGCATTGTATAACTCATCAAGTAGCTCATCTATGGTTGGGATAGGAAAAGCATCCTTGACTGTTAAGGCATTTAAAGCCCTATAGTCAATATACATTCTCCAAGTGTGATCATGTTTTCTCACCAACAAAACAGGAGAAGAAAATGCACTGTGACTTTGTTGTATCCAACCAGAATTCAAGAGTTCCAGAATTTGCCTTTCAATTTCCTCTTTTTGATGATGAGGATATCGATAAGGTTTTACTCTTACAGCTTGTGATTCACCAACCAGTGGAATGGCATGTGTTAATTCTCGAAAAGGATGAAGTGTCTTAGGCAAATCAAACACAGCATGATACTGCAGCAAGGTACTCCACAATTCTGCTGGAATTTTACTTTTCATTTGAAGAAGCTCAGGATTCATCTCACTTTGTTGATTATGCTGCTCCAAAACAAGCAAGGCATGACATGTGGTGTCATCCTCATTCTCCAATTGTGGCATGTGGTGTGGCTCAATTCCTTTCAAGGAGATGAGCTTATTGTTCCAAGTAAAATCCATGGATAGCTCCCCATAGTTGTGAGTGACTCTTCCCAAAGTGACTAACCATTGCATTCCCAAGACTACCTTAAGACTGCACAAATCCAGAACATATAAATCAGTCACAAAGGTGTGACCCTAAATCAACAGTTGTACTTTGAGACACTTTCTGTCACAAATCAAGAATTCACCATTCCCCATGAATACTCTCATTCTATGGGTGCGAACCATGCTAAGTTGCAAATCTTCAGCTAAACTTCTTTGAATGAAGTTATGAGAGCTACCAGAATCCACTAAAATTTTAACACTGCCAACAACCATTTCTGCCAACAACACCAAGAACTTTGCATCTGTTCTGCCCAAAAATAAGTGCAATGCAGCATCCATTTTAGGTTCTAAAGAGACTTCCTTACGCCATATAATCTCCTCATCAGATTCTCCATCGGATTCCTCATTGTCAACTATCAGCACCAACATACGTGCCTTACATTTATGCTTCTTCGACCATTTCTCATCTCAAACATAACAAATTCCCAATTCTCTCTTCTTGGCTAACTCCTCAGAAGACATCTTTTTAATAGGAAAATTGGAACTCGAAGCAGATATTGAAGTTGAAGGAGTAGAAGTTACCTTCTCTGGTGTGGTTCCTATATTCGAGCGAGGGACAAATTTCTTCTATTGTGGTTGGAATGAAGAACACAATTCTCCATGGTGGCTGTCATAAGCAATAGCCAGTTGCATAGCTTGATGTAAAGAAGTAGGCCATCTCAATTGGACTGCACCTTGTAACTCCGGTTGTAAGCCCGCAACAAAAAAAGTCATCAACAACTCATCATTGATGTTAGAAACTTGATTCATTAAGCGTTGGAATTCTGCCATATAATCAGCAAGCGAACTAGACTGCAACAACTTGGCTAAAACACCACGACTATCTTTGTATGTTGAAGGCCCAAATCGTTCCCTGACAGCTCTCACAAATTGTTCCCAGGAATTGAGAGTACCACTACTAAACATCCATTGAAACCAATCGGCTGCTATCCCTTCCATACGCAATCCAGCTAATTCCATCTTGAATTACTCTGGTACTTGTTGAATTTTGAAGAACAAATCAGTTTTGAAAATCCAAACATTTGGATTTTTCCCATCAAATTTGGGTATTTCTGGTTTGATGAACTTTAGCACCGAACGTGGATCCTCAGTACCAGTTCCATGATGATGGACTTCTTTATGCACTGGTTAAGCCCCATTATTACTATGAACATCAGAAGTTGTACCTTGAGATTGGAGAGGCGAATCTCGAATCGTATTATGCATCTCCTGAAAGCGAGTCTCCATCGTAGTGAACAACTGCTCTATGCGTTGGTTGTTTTGCTCACGATATTGCAGGAACTCCTCTGCCAACTCTTGAAGTTTCATGATCGCCATGGGTATAAGAGCTTGACTCCACAAGAATGAAAGCACCAATGATACAGAGGATACTCTCTGTAACTGAATAACCGAACCAACTTCTTTATTAACAATGATCAATGATCTCACTTTACACTTGTCTTTCTATATATACATGCAAACTCTTCTAATGACACGACTACATATACGTGTCCCACTATTACACAATACAGTTATTACACTATTATAACCAGCATTCACTTATACAAGGCCCATGGACCTATTCAACTATATCACATGGTCCACAGCCCACGATGGGTAACCTTTTACCCTCTGCCCCCTACCTTTTGCTTGTGTAACATCTCTAACAGAAACCTTGTTGAACTATTTTGTCAAGAAAGTCACGTGCTTCTACAGCCCTCCCATGATCACATAGTTCTTTCACAAAAGGGTGGAATATTTTATCCATGGTTCATGCCTGCATCTCCTTCAACATATTAATGGTGAGGTATTAATGGTGAGTCCTTGACAGTTCTTTCCTGCAAACATCTTTACCATCCTGAGTGTATTAACAACTGGTTGAAAATAAACAAGGTATGATTATACCCTTCCTCAATAATGTTTTTATCACTAAGGCATGCCTTATTGGAAAATCCTTTTTGGCTTGAAATGTGAATAAATCACATGTCTATTTACCCTGTTGCCACATATTAAAAGAACAAATCAGGTTTTAGACCACTTTAAGTTAGTAGAGGTGAAGCATGGATGATTGTTCCGCCTCATTTTCTGGACACATCTTTTATACTCAGATCTTTACTTATTTCATGAATCTCTCTTTTTGCTTAAATATCATGATAAATGTCTAGTTCGCTACTAGTTCAGATGTCCCATTTACAAAATCTAATGGTAACATGTATCAATAATTCATAAATTGCCCTGTCGTTTTGATCAAATTTGAATTAGTTTCTTGAGAGTTATTTGCAGTGGAGAAGCTATGGCGTAACCGTAGGTTCTTTGTCTGCAGGTTTGCCCTGTTTGCAGTACTGAGGTATCTGCATCTGGGAGCAGCTTGTAGGTGGATTAATAGCTGCTCTTCGCTTCAAATTGAAGAAAATTTATTCATGATTGTTCCGCCTCATTTTCTGGACACATCTTTTATACTCAGATCTTTACTTATTTCATGAATCTCTCTTTTTGCTTAAATATCATGATAAATGTCTAGTTCGTTACTAGTTCAGATGTCCCATTTACAAAATCTAATGGAAACATATATCAATAATTCATAACTTGCCCTGTCATTTTGATCAAATTTGAATTAGTTTCTTGAGAGTTATTTGCAGTGGAGAAGCTGTGGCGTAATTGTAGGTTCTTTGTCTGCAGGTTTGCCCTGTTTGCAGTACTGAGGTATCTGCGTCTGGGAGCAGCCTGTAGGTGGATTAATAGCTGCTCTTCGCTTCAAATTGAAGAAAATTTATACATGATTGTTCCGTCTCATTTTCAGGACACATATTTTATACTCAGATCTTTACTTATTTCATGAATCTCTCTTTTTGCTTAAATATCATTTTGATGAGGTATTAATTTGGAGAACCTGAGACACTTGAATGCCATCAGGCTGAGGATGATGTTGTTAACTTCTCTGTTTTCCCCTTCTTATAGTTTGGTACTTGAAATGACAATACGTAGTTTAAGAGTGGCACACTTTTTTTAAGGTAAAAAAAATTAAAAAAATTAAAAGCTGTACAGTTATTATTATATAAAGCTGAGGTTTTTGAAAGAGGATAAATGAAATAATTTATTTTTAGGATGGATTATTAATCTAAAAATCAAAATTGATATGTATAACTTTAGAATAAAGATGAAACTGAAAAATAATTATAAGAACTTTAAAATATGGGTAAATAATTTCTGCGGTCAATGAAGATAAATTATCTCCGGTGAATCCAAAATGATGTCGTTTTGGGTGGAAATCAATGTATTTTTGCAATTCTAATATATTGCAAGGTTATGTTAGTCTTTGTCATTATAATTTTTTAATTTTGTAACTCAAAACAACGTTGCTTTGAACTCACTGGAGATAACTTTATCTGTAGTGACTGGAGAAATACTTTTTCCTTAAAATATTAGTATATATTTTTAAAAAGCTCATCTTATGCCTTAAGCTTTTATTTTTTTATTCATTATATGAAAAAGCTTTTTCTATAATAAGAATTTTTGTAAAAATATATTGCCTAAGGTTTTATAAATAAAAGTGAAGCTGAAAATCAAACTTCTCAGACAGTTATTAAATTAAACATTTTGATTTAAAAAAGAAAAATGTTGCTGGATGTTTAACTTTTATTATTTATCGATATTTGCTATTTTAACGTGATATTTAATTATGATGACGTAATAGTGGGGGTTAAGTCAAGTCTTTGCTGTTAGTTTACTTTTTGTTCCCAGAATCATTTTTTTTTTAATTTCTGTTCTCGGGAACAGAAATAGATAGAAAATTCGTTTGGTAAAATCGTTTTATTTTTTTGTTCCCGGGATGTACCGGATTAATTTTTGTGTTGGGGAACAGAAAAAAGAATTAGAAAATTTCTGTTTTTTTGTTCCCGGGCACAAAATGAGAAACATTTATCTCTCTTAATCACTCTCCATCTCTACCATTATCACCACCACCACCATCATCCCAACACGACCATCGCCACCATCGTCATCGCTGTCGTCGTACCACTAGTGTTGTCGTGACCCCCCACCACCACGATGCCACCAACACCATCACCACCACCTCCACCCATCACTACTACCATGCCACCATCACCATCACCGCCACCACAACTACCAGCGCTGCAACCACCACCACCACTATCACCGTCACCACCATCATCACCACTATCACTATCAACCACCACCACCATCATCGCTACCACTGCCGCCACCGCCACCGCCGCCATCACCACGCCACAGCCACCACTACCAACACCACTGCTACCATCACCACCACTGTCACCAACCACCACTATCATTATTGCAGCCACCACAGACACCACCGTCGTCACCAACCACCACCATCACAGTCACTACCGTCACCACCACCATTATCGCCACCATTACACCACCCCCGCCACTACCATCATCACCACCACCACCACCACCATACCACCGCTACCATAGTCGCCGCCACCAATGCCACCAACCACCACCCCACCACCATTGTCGCAGTCAATGCTGTCACATCCACCACCACTACCACCAACGCCACCGCTACCATCACCACCACTGTCACCAACCACTACTATCATTGCTGCAGCCACCACCGACACCGACGTCGCCACCACCACCATCGCCACAATTACACCACCCCCGCCACTACCACCACAACTGTCACCTACCACCACCACCATTCCATCCCCACCACTATTGTCGCAGCCACTGACGTCACCTCCATCATCACCATCCTCATCACTACCATCGCCGCCACCACCATTACCACTGTCATCGCTGCAGCCACTGCCGTCACAACCACCACCACTATCATCACCACATCACTGCCACCACCACCGTCGTACCGCCGCCGCCACCGCCACCACCACCATGCCAACCCCACCGCCATCACCACTACAACCACACCATATGAAAAGGAAAGTGTATAATGACTCTAACCTATAAGATATGAGCTTACAAATTTATTAATGAATAATTAAATTAATGTAAAGTAGTAAAGAATCAAATAAAATTTAATCTAGTAGGACGTGGGTACATTCTAAAATTTGTACCCAGAAATTTTCGCGGTTGAATAGTTATCCAAAGGTTAAGTGAATAAGTTTTAAATTCTCCAAAACAAAAATGGTACTAAGGGGTTAAAATAAATTCTGACCTCTCCTAGCTACTTTCTGAAAATTTCCGTAAAAAAGGGGATTGTACCCACTGCATTTTTGACTTTGTGCAAGAGAGGAAAGACTAACCTAACTTCCTAGAAGCTCCTGCAAGTTGTCACGGTCACTATTCCAAGAACCCTCATCTTTGTCTCTTCCTTATTACCCTTTAATGAAAAGCATTTCCTCTCCTTCTTAGCTTTTAGTAGTTCTTAGGAAAGGTAAATTGCTAGAGAAAAATATTTTTCTTCTTCATCTTGACCGTGAGTGGGCTGTTGGGAAGGGGTGGAGTTTGGCTTCATTATCATCACTCTAAATCATTGAAGGGATGACTAAGACATGAGGGAACAATCACCAATGGAGAAGAAGCAAAACATTTTCACATAGAGGAGGAGAATGGAACCACTACTTGGACTGTTGAGTATAAGGGGTAGTACCGTTGAAGTAAATTAGGAAGAAGACTACAAGAAGCTCTACCTACAAATTAGATTTTGCTCAAGAGTGGAGAATTCATGGCTGCATACTTTTCAAACCTAACAAGGTAAAATGAAGGTATCTTAGGCTATTGACCTATTTATATTCCAAAGTATGGATCTTATAGCCATGTTAAAGTACTCATGTGAAATGATAGTAGACACGAAAGATGTTATTCGTGAAAGCATAATATTATGATAAAGGAGACTATGTAGGTATATCCATTATGCTTGGAGGTTGGCCGAAGTGACACCATATACAAACTCTCTTAATTATTTGGAAAGATAATGGCATTAAATGTGATAAATAGGATTATTTTATATGGATAGTTAGAGAGTGATTTGAATATAGCTTACTTTGTTAAATATGCTTGGGATTGGTTCCCGTAAAAGGAAAAATTATGAAATCACCATTTAGGACACTTTGATAAATTGGACTAAAAATCAAGTGTAGGTTTCTTTTATAGGCAGTCTTGAAAAATTAAACGTAGTAGACTGATATATGGGAATACTGATGGTCTTCACATCTTGGAACTAGGTTGTGACTTGTGAGAGATCGTGACTCGGTGGACACGAGAATTAGTGGAGGACACTACTTCCCAGGTAAGCTTACGGTCCTTGGAGTTAATCCCCCGTTTGTTCCACCAGACTCCGAGGGAGGATGGTAGTTTGATATGGTATGTGAAAATGATATTATATGTTGCATGTATATGTATGTATGTTTGTGTGCCACACAAAACGGTGTTTCCTTGTGTGAGGCATAAGACGGTGATTCCTTATGCATAGTATGAGACGGTGTTTCCTCATACGGTATGTTGCAAGACGGTGTTTCCTTGCGTAATGCATACTTGTTATATTCTCTGGCCAGTAGGATTATATTATTGCACACTGCATTGTCATACATATTCTGATGCATGCATGGATTTTTATACTGTGTTTATACCAGAAGTGAGCTTAGGGGTGGAGGAGCCCTCCAAGGGTCCCTAGCTTACTGAGGTAATTATATTATCTCACCCTGCGTTATGGGGATTACCATTTCAGGTACAGGAGCTGATGGTACTGAGGCATCGCGTGGCAAGAGGCCAGATGAGAGATACTACTTGACATGATTGTCAGGGTCTTACGGATATTTAGATTTGTACCTGACATACTTTATTTTGGGTTGTATGTGCCATGTATTTTTTTTTTTTGAGAGCATAGAAGATGTCTATGCCATGTCGATAGTCTGTATATGTTGTTAGTTATGCATGCTTAGGTCTATGTTACTTATTTAATTGCATCTCTTTTGTTTATTTGATGTAATTATATAAGTAACATCATGGACATTATTTTGAGACAGTATGATTATGAGATAGCCTAGGTCATGGATGACTGGGCAATATGTTTTATCTATGCTGTGATATGCCTGAGTTATATTAAACTGTCGATCAGGTTGAAATTATCATAGTGGGAATTATCCCCAAAGGTCCAAAATACAGAGAAAATGTTGTCCGTTTTATTTTGGCCATGGAAGTAAAAAGGTTTGCAATACATAAGGAAAAAGGGAAAATTTATTTAGTTAGCTTCCGAAATAATTAAGTTGAGCATGCTGCGCTTACTATCATATGAATGTTAATTAACCGGCTGTAGACGAGGCGTTACAAAGTGATGATCCGAAATTTTTTTATATTTATTAGGAATTATTTTTTATTATATTATTTGTTGTGTTATCAAACACAATTCTCATTCTCGGAATAAAAATAGAACATGTTATCAAACACATTTTATTTTATTTTTCTCAGAAACTGTTCTAAGGAACATAAATAGAAAAGAATTGTTTCTTTTCAGAAACAGTGCTAGGGAATAAATGGTTGTCATGCACATACGGACACGAGGTTGCGGTGAACAAAGAACATGTTTGTTCAACTTTGCCATTGCTCAATTTTTTGTCACCATGCTTTGTGCTTTTTCACTTGAAGTTCTTCTTTGCTGTCTTTGTGCTCATCATGACCATCTTTATTGCCTTGTTCCTGCCTGAGACTAAGAACTTCCCAATTGAAGAAATGAAGAGAGTATGGAAGTCACATTGGTTTTGTACAAAGCTCTTTCCTAACACAGTCCACTGATCATGCTTGAAGTTGAACAAAAAATGCCCGTGCCGTACAGTGAACGAGGAACAATCAGCAAAAGGCAAAACAGGAGGAAAGAAAGTGATTGAATTACTTCTTTTTACCATAAGATTTCCATTAATTTCAAATTTCACAAACTCGGGTTTTCACTAACCTATCTGAGTTTAACCCAGATGATAGCTTGATCGTGTTGCCGACTACAGTTTTACGTTGTAGAAGTCTAATTAATAAATTACCATCCGTAGCACAATTCTCAATGTAAAAGCTATAGACAACTGTTTAAAATCAATTACATTATAGGGTTTAATACTTTAATAGCTTTGCCTCATTGATGTTTTCTTTGTTATCGGATGCTTATACATTCCTTTTATTTTGAAGAGAATCTGTTAACTTTCTAGCACGCAATCATTTTCCCTTAAACAGAATGAATTTCTACTTTCATCAAAAATAAAATAAAACCCTGAAGTTACAAGTCGAATTAAGCAAGCATTATACATCATTTAGCTTGCCGGAAGTCCTATGAAGACAGTCCAGTACGAACATAAATCGATTCAACTGAATCAAATAAATAACAAAGGAAAGTAGAAACACTTTAGCACAACCTTCATTCACAACAACATGCTGTATTTGCCAGCTTCAGAAATGATACAACTGTAAAAGCCTGTTAAAACTGTGTCAAACAAAGATATGGGAACATATATAGATCTGCTCCTATGTCGCAAGTTTCCAAGAACAGGTCAGAATTTTGAATAACATAAATGAATGACTATGAAACTGACATCGATTGCAATAAAGCATCCATATACTCTTTCAGTTTAACTTTTGTAATTGCACCTTCCCTTCTGCTTTCTGGAACTTCCTGCCCGTCCTTGAATAGTATCAAGGTTGGCAATCCATAAACTTTATACTCTTCTATTAGCCGTGGGTTGGCATCATGATCAATCTTTACAACTGTTAATCTGTCTTCATATTCCTGCAATTCATTACATATAAAAATTCAGTCCATAAAAATTAATATCCTAAGCTTCTAGGGAAATCACATTAATCATTTAGTGAAAATTCTGTTCCTTGAACCATAAATCAGAATGACACAACCAAAACTACACATCTCATATTTCAGAGGATTGAGGAGACGAGTAACTTCTCAAACCTAATAATTTATGCAATGTATGAGAACAATATTGCATGTAACAGCCAAATAATTTAGTTAAGTGAGCAGATATTGTCCATAAGTTCACTATAAAAAACCACTCCTCGTTAAACTCAATTAGCGAGTGAGGGGTGAAGAAAATCCTTGTACGCAGTCTTACCCTTACATAATTACAAAGAAGCTGTTTTCTGAATTCGAACATGTAACTTTTCAATTATGAAATAACAGTTATGTAAGTTCAAATTTGTTTAGTTACCAAAAGCATTAGATTTGCATTGAGATTCACTCAAACAGTTATTGATATAACCTGAGCTAGGGATTCCATAGCGGGAGAGATCAAACGGCAAGGGCCACACCAAGTGGCGACGAACTCAACCAGAACCGGACGGTTAGCCTTCAACACTGTGTCTTCGAACTGGCTCTCATTGATCTCCACGATACCAACACCGCAACTCACTGTAAATTGAGGAACCGGAGAAGAAGATTTCCTGAACCTGTGTGTTCTTCTTCTCTGAGAGGTGAGCCTGGACGACCAGTGAGCCAGAGGAAGAAGAAGAGAGGACGAAGTGGATGCAGAGATTGAAGCAACTGTACGCACTGGAACCGGAGGGAGTGACAGTGTCAGTGATGCTGAACTGGAGATAACGGTGTCCATGAATCGCAAGAGGAAAAGCTCAAACTCGAATGGTAAGTGTTAAAATGATAATGCAGAGAGTTATTTATGACCCATAACATGACTATCTGGACCAAACACATATATGCTAGGCTTATTTGTGGCCACATATATCTCCAAATGCGAATATATTCGTGACGTCAATTTCAATAATAATAAAAAAAAAAGTAATATTCTAGAGTCTAGACCGAAATTTAGTGAAATTTCTGGATAAAAAGAAAATTAATTCTTCCTCATTTCCAAATTTTTTTTCTAACCCAGTAAGCTAAATGTATTACGAGTTTTGCTAATTTGGCATCGGTAAAAAAAAACTCACAAATGGACGATGACTCGTGAGGCATAAAAGACATCTTCATTTTCCCTTTGCAATACACAGCTGAATTCCTTTAGCATTTTTTGATGTATTATTATGTCAAGTTTAAATACTTTCAATTGCTTGCTAATACAATTAGTACCACACACACAATACAAAGTCACTAAATTGGCAAGTGTACAAAATTTGTAGTATCTAGGCCTTCCAGGACTTGTTTGTTATCAACTTATCACTCCGGATTGTTCATCATAAGCCCTGGCCAGCTGGGCATCAAAAGATTCATAATTATCTTCTTCCCCATCGTCATCATCATCCTCCTCCTCAACAAATCCAACAACGCCATTAACTTTAGGTAAATTGTTTTTTTCATTGGAATGCATTGCAAGCTCATTAGCCTCTTTCCTTTCTTCGTCTGTTTTTGCTAAAGATAGAAGGACATTTTTAGCTTTCTGATCAGGAGGAACCCCACAACACTCCATTTCCTTATACCAATGAACAGCATTGTCGAAGTCTCCATTTTTTCCATATGCATCCATGATAGTGGTCAAAATAGTCTGATTGGCCTTGATACCCCGCTTAAGCATTTCCTTATATTTCTCCATTACCTTCCGAAGATCATTTATCTTAGCATACCCCTTAATTAAGGTTCCGTACGTGACAACATTAGGCTCAAAACCATCTTGTATCAATCTTTTGAAAAACTGCTCAGCCCCCTCCATGTCTGGTGCGTTAACATAAGCTGATAACATGGTAGTGTATGAGCAAAGATCTGGCATGTATCTGCATGGAAAAGTACAATGATATGAGATTGCTCCACGTTATGCTCTAAACAAATGTCTGAAAGTAACATATACTCTCTGAACTCGTAATTTGCTCTGTACATAAATTTTAAACTATCAAAAAATAAAAAATGTTCGTTGTTTACTTCTTTTGACCAAACATAAACCACTATCCGACACAGGTATGGCCTTTCAGCCGATCCGTGTTTCCTTGCAGATTTTTTTTATTATTATTATTTTTAGTTTGGATCCTCCTTATCCTTAATCATTAATGAAGAACAGTATATTGGATGTAGGTTCTTTTAAATTGCTTAAAGAATGGAAATCCATATACTTAATATCATTAATGGCAGAATGCTTCGAACATTAGAATATAAACTAAAGATGGGAAACGTAATTTACCTATCCCTTCTCATGCTCTTAAATACAGTCCGAGCTTGTTCTACCATTCCCGATATAGAAAATGCATCAAGTAAAATGTTGTAAGCCTTCCGAGTTGGTCTGTGAAAAAGAAGAGAATACTGAGACTTAAAAAAATAAAAATAAAAATAAAAAAAAATTAGCAGATAAAAACACAACTAATTTTGGCGACATAATCAGAAAAAAAACAGCTATCAAAATAATTTGCCAGCAATTCAACTAAAAGGTCTCTCATGATCAAAATTTATTAAAGGAGAAAAACTATTTGTATGGCCACATAAGACATTAGTGTGGTTGGTATAGTAAAGATAGGAATTTGAATATTTCAATGATTTACTCATAATAGCACCAAGAGATACAGATGTTAAAGTGGACAATTATTTTGCTTTGCAAACGGTATTTACAAAGATAGGAATATGAACGCATGGCTGCTAAAAAAATAGCATTATGTAATTTAAATCTCTAGGTTTCAAGGATGATACTCTTATTGCAAATGATGGTAAGATTAATTTTAGACAACGCTCATAATAACTTTAAAAAAATTAATGCGCTAAATAATACAGCTTTCTTTAAGTCTAGGCATTAATAATTTATTCTCTAACAAACCTGACACCGGCATCAAGCATCTCCTCAAATACAGCTAGTGCTTCTTCCTCCCTCCTGGCCTTCCCATAAGCATTAATGAGTAAGGCATAGCTCACAACGTCAGGTCTGAGATCAGCTCTTTGCATCTAAAATTAGGTATTCACTTCAAAATCTGATGATTAATTATAAACAAGAAATTAAAGGGGGGGAAACAAGATGAAAACTAGTGGAAAGTCTTGGAAATACTTCAGATTAAATAAATTCTTTTTTTCTTAAAGTCCTGACAGTATTAGTGCCTCTTGTCTGTAAGGACTTAATTTCACCAATCAGAGATTTGATATTTTAAAAAAATTCTGACTGTATTATAATGGAGAAAATTTTCCAAACCATAACAGCAATGAAATCACAAACTTGTAGGAATTGGCAATTAGGTAGGACTCGTGTATCATTACAATATAAACACAATGCGCCAAAACAATTTAAAACTTAGTCTTTACTTATAAATTACAGGCTATCTTATGCGAGGCAGATCTAAAATTTTCGAAGAAGTACACCAGAGATCCAAGCCTGATGCCTATTCACGTGGAGGATAATAAGACCATTTTTTTTATTTTACGCAAGTTAGCTCAAAACTAGTTTCTTCTTCTTTTGGAAGCAATAAAATAATATGATGTAAAAAGTATGTATATTCAGTTTTGAGGAAAAAGTCGTCTGTAATAAGCATACATAGAACACAACCGAGATGAAATGAAAGGATCCCGGATCTACCACAGATTCTATAAAAGATAGATAGATAGATATTTAATTTTACCTGATCATATATGTTTGAAACTTCCTTGTAATTTGTTTCAAATGACATCAAGCTATTATATGTCACTGTAGATTGTTCAATTCCCCGTTCAGCCATCAGTGCAAATGTCTTGCGAGCCTTTTCATAACTTCCAGCCTTCTTATACATATAAATCATCATGTTAAACATCTTCTGGTCTGGTTTCAAAGGTGATTTTTCATCATTCAGTAGATTGTGAAATACTTCTTCGGCTTCCTTAAACTTGTCCCCCTGCAGGAGTATCAATTACACAAATGCAAAACTGAAAGTCAAACACTCAACAGCAGTCTGTACAATATTAATAGAAATGTATACTGAATTCAACATAGTTATCAAAGAAATATGAGGAGATATATTCGAGTCGAGTAGACATTCTTGGGACAGTTATGATTAGTTCCAATTAATGGGAGTTGTAACTGGTAAGCACATACTATCATGTTTAAATTCATATAAGGGGATGTGTTGGAGTTGAAAAACCAATACTGGGCCCATATTTACAGCTTAGAATTCTATGACAAAACTCAACACATCACTTCGCAAACATATACAGAAATAAAAGTATAACAACAACCATGCGGCGTAAGGGAAATTAAATTTCACAGCGAAATAAAAGTGCATAGGATAAAAATGTATGTTTACCTGGACAAATGTTTTAAGTATTATCTGATATGTTAAAGCAGAAGGTTCAGGGCCTGATCTCTGCATCCTACGAAATATTGCTTCCGCATTATTGATTCGGCCTCCTTTTCCATATGCTTCCATAAGTGCAGTATGAGACACTACATTTGGTGGATGACCCTTCTTATTCATCAAGCTTAATACCTTCTCGGCACCATTGAAGTCTCCTAACTTTCCATAAGCTGTGAGAAGCATGACGAAATCCATCTTACTAAAATCCCACCAGTTTTGAGTCCGAAGCCATTCAAGAATCTAAAGAGAACAACAAGCATGTATGTAGCAGGCAGCAGTTAGAATCATTTATAAAACAGGTAACGGAGTCAACTCTCTGTATGTTCAACAATCAAAGTCAAAACCAAATAACATCTTTGGTTGTATACCTCAATGACAAGGTTCCACCTTTTGAGTTGTTTAAATCTAATTAATGTACCAATGACAAGGTCCTTAGGAATAGTGCGGTTTTTTATCTTCTCAGAAGAGAGCACAGAAACAGCAGAACCGGCCTCATCGATTTCGTTCATGACTCTCCTCCAATTTTTCTGGTCAGCTTCGTCGGCGTCATCCTTGAAAACTTCCATTTTCTTCCTCCTCTGCATGAATTTTCTGGGTGTCAACATCCCCATACACACCACACCCATTCTCCCACTCATCTTCACCTTCGCAATTCCATACTCTGACTTACTGCACACACACACACACACAGAGAGAGAGAGAGAGTGAATCATATAACCCAACCCAACCAAGAAATTAACAACAACAAAAACAAAAAGCACTTCCAAAATTCCATAATCTTACCCTGGATGAAGCGGTGGTAAAGGGAGTTGTCCCACGTGGCAGTGTGACTTGGAAATGAGGCTACACATAACGAACACAACCCACAAGAAGAAGAAGAAGAAGAAGAAAAATGGAGGGTTGCTTATGTTTTGCTTTGTATCAAAATGACACAAGAAGATATAATCATTGTTAATTTATTGGGCTGGTCCAATATTTTGGGTCTGGCCCAATTTGAGTCCAACATTAGGCCCAGTTATATGGCCCAAGAGAAAAATCAGAAACAAGGTATTTAATTGTTTGGAAACCAAACCAGGCATTGTGACTTGAGTCGCTCCTCCTCCGACGAACCATGTCTTCCGCGGCCGGCGCCGGAGTTAAGCCGTTCTTCTGCCACTTATGCAATCAGAGAGTTACCTGCTCCGATGATTCCGATCCTTTCTGCCCGATCTGCCTCCAAGGTTTCGTCGAAGAAGACAACTCTAATCCCAACCCTAACCCTAACCCTAACCCTACTGCTGTTTCATTCCGTTTCATCCCCGACCCTTCTTCTGACCCACATTTACCCTTTCATCCTCTCTCCCTTCTCCCTCTGTTGTTATCCTCCGCTTCATCCACCACCATTGATCTCCAGAACCCTCATTTCTTCTCGAATTCTCCTGGATCCAGGACCCGCCCCGATTTCCCTGAACGCGACACGTTCGACCCGTTCCTCTTCCTCCAGAACCACCTTCAGGGCCTTCGCGCCGAGGGGGCTAATGTTCAATTCGAGATTAATCACCCTTCCGAACCGGGGTTTCGCCTCCCAGCCAACATCGGGGATTACTTCGTCGGCCCTGGCCTCGAGCAATTGATCCAGCAGCTGGCCGAGAATGACCCGAACCGTTACGGGACGCCTCCGGCATCCAAAGACGCCGTTGCAAAACTTCCGACCGTAACCGTTGATGACGAGTTGTTGAACTCGGAATTGAACCAGTGCGCGGTTTGTCAGGACGAGTTCGAGAAGGGTTCGAAGGTAAAGCAAATGCCTTGCAAGCACGTGTACCATGATGGGTGCTTGCTTCCCTGGCTTGAATTGCATAACTCTTGCCCTGTGTGTCGATATGAATTGCCCACCGACGATGCCGATTCTGGGAATCGGACGCAGGGGAACGCTGGTGATGGGTCGAGGTCTGCTGGTAATGTTAATGGCAGCAGCGGGGGTGGTGGTGCTGGCAGCGGTGGCGGTGTGGAGAATAGACCTGCCCGCAGGACTTTCAGAATATCTTTGAGGTATCCTTTTGGTGCAGGTGGCTCTGCTCAGGACAGTGGTGAAAGGGGATGGGAAACTAGGCAAGAAGATTTGGATTGAAATTGTAAGTAGTTTTTTTTTTTTCTGCTAAAAGAAATTTATTAATAATGTTGTTCGATTATTGATTTGTGTTTTGTTTGTTTTATATGATTCTGGTTGTTAGGCATTCATAATTGTATTATGATTTGAGATGCATTATTTTGTTTATTAGGATTTGGGATTGAATCTGTTGCTTGTATAATGTAATTGATAATTGATGGCATTTTAAACTTAACCTTTCGTATTACCCACAAACAATCACCACTATTCTTTTTGGCTATTGCTATGTTTCACTGTTCAGTATGAAGGGGGAGTATTGTATTTGGAGCGCATTAGTATAGTGCTGCTAAAATAGTTTCTGGATTCATTCCTTTGTTTGCTTTGATCTTCTTGTGTGATGGCATTTTATGTAGTTCTAGGCTTGTATAGACTGCCTTGGTTTTTTTACTTGGATCAACTTTGTTTGTTGTTCTGATACTTAAACTCCCAGTCAAAATTAATTTTCTTGCCTTCGGATAGAGTGAGAAGTCTTTGCATACTCATCTACATGCGTCTTTGTACTCTAGCCATTTCCCTAGTTCATTACTCTCATAGGTTTTCAAAATTATTCTGTATATTCTTATAATTATATTCATTTTTATATTAGAGATATAAATAATCTGAACTGCATCTGAGATGTTAACTCTTAGTGAGACCTTGTAACTATGGAGCTGCCTGTCCCCAACTCTTCCTCAAAGAAGTGGTTTATCTGGGAAAGAAGGACGGACGTTTGAATCAGCCTTTCTATGTTTCGTCATAAAGTTCTGAACTATTTCATTTACTTCAGGAGTCTTGAACTTTTATTTAAAAGGGGTTTTTCCTTCTGTATACTTTTTTTCCCCCTATTCTTTAGATACATATTATCTATTTCTCATACGTATATGTATATTAAAGGGGAAAATGGATTAGGATAGAATCTAATTGGTGTCATTTCTATTCTCATATTTTGCTTTTCTTATATATTATCCTATGGAGCAAGCAAATATGTAGATTGCTTGTTGGTTTTTTTAAATTCTGTAGCTGGATCATCGAGTACATATATATTCTAGGCCAAAAAAAAAAAAAAAAATTGCATCCATGTTGGGTTTTAAATTTTGATATATTTGTGCATCCAATAATTATAAATGTATATGTTAATATTGAGTGCTGATACATTGGTAGTTGTTTTTGGTATATCTGCAGGTACTACTTGGTGTTGAAAAACTGGAAACTATCATGTGCAGCTCAAAGTTTTCGTGAATAGATTACTGTCATTATGTTTACAAAAATGTTTGTAGGGATTGGAGGAAATATTGTAATCCGTGGCCCGGAACTTTGTCCATCAAAGGTCCTTTTTTTTTTTTTTCTTATTTACTGGATAGCTGGTATATGGGATTTGCATGACAACACCCAATTATTGAGTGTTGATAACAATTTTTCCCTGTTGTTTTTTTGTACAGACAGATCAGATCATCTTCCAATCATCCAATGTTGATTACCATTTATGCAATATGATCTAGTTATGGTCTATATTTCTCCTTTCGCCTTCTACAAACGGAACCCATGGTATTAGATGATTGACCGGTTGCCAAATACTAGGCTTCACTTGCATTGATAATTGATAACTAGCATTCACTTTGATCACATTTACGTTTAGATTTAGGTAACAAAGTTTCCACTCAATTAACAGCACGAGTAGTGAGTAATGCGAATAAGCGGTTAATTTAATTCGGTAACTTTTAAGGACAAGCTTTTTTTGTTAAACTGAAAAAAAAAAAACAAATTTTAGTGCATAATTGTTTGACAGGATAGGAAAAGGATAAATAAAATTAGGAGGCTGAAAAAGAGTAAAAAAGAATATGGACATATTAAAACCCAAACTATATATCTTGTGTTTAAGGTTTAGGAGATGATATAAATACATGAAAATATTACTTACAACATAATTGTATATATTTAAAAAAAACAATTTGTAAACTATTTTTATTTCCTATAATCGTTTATACATTAATTCTTATTTAAAATTATTAAAAAATTCATGTTGTGATTTGAAATAAAATATATTTAAATTAAAAAATAACTTACAAAGTTTTTTAAAATAGAAAAAAAAATTATCCACACTAAATTAAAAAAAAAAGATTTTCAATATTTATGTATGTAATATGAAAAATACAATTTAAATAATATTAACACGAAAAAATTAATTCACATTCACACACACAAAATAATTGAATTTTGATTCTAACTCCGGGTTTATAGAAGATTTTTTTCAAGCATGTATAATATTTTTAAAGTAGATTTATTTCTAAAAGAAATAAATTAGAATATGTTAATTTTTAAAATTATAGGTTTTATACGCGTTTAAAAATCCTTGAAGTCAATCTCCAAAACGTTTTATACTCATTCGAACTTTTCATACTCATGCAAACATTTTATACTCAGCCGTTTCGAGAATTATACGCCGATAAGTATATATTTAGGGTTTAGGTAACAGACTCAGGCTCCCAAAGTCCCAATTATCCCCTCCCCCATTGAAAATTTTACGGCGATCAGTCTCAGGCTCCCCTCCCCCGCCGTTCGTGAATTATACGCCGATCAGTCTCAAGCTTCAACACACCGATGAAACTTCCAGGTACTATTTATGTATATATGCAACCTCAACTTTCTATGATTAAGCGCTTAAATATTGTATAAGATTCTTTGTTCTACATTCTCTCTAATTTTTAATAAATGATTGTGATCTATGAACGTTAACTTTCGGAGCTCATTGGATTTTTCTGTTTAAAGGACGGCATCTTTAACTGTAACGCAAGATAATAATTACTGCAGGGGAAGGGCAACATAATAGCTAATTGATGCATACTCTTATGGATGCTTTTTTATTTTTTTTAAATAAATAAAATAAAGTAAAATTATTATTGCGATGACAGGGAATGAAGTTACGTCTTGTACTCGTTGTGGACTTAGACAACAATGTTGCTGGTTCAAGTAATCCACAGGAAGCTGTAAGTGCAATGAGTTCATTACAAGGTACACGTATCTAAACCTATATATACTTTTTTTTGTTTTGCATATAATTTTCCATTTAATTTATGTGCTCATATTTCTCATAATGAAGGAGTTGACAACAATATTATTGCTGGTTCAATTAATCCACAAGATCTCGTGAATGTAAGGAGTTCCCTACTAGGTATTGCTAGTTGCTTTGCTCCTGTCCAATGTCATTGCAAATGTGTTTGTTTTTTTAATTACAAGAAGACTTATATTATATCTTTGCAGATCTCAAGGAGAGCTGTTATGACTTGGATATCCAGTACTTAGGTTTATTATTTGGGCGGGAATTGTCTATCACTGACCTTCTCACTAGCTATAGTCGACAACATAAAGGCCATCCGGGATGAGGCTATTTCTTCTATTGAGGTATTCCATGAGTTGGTTAATGTCTGGGTTCTAGACCAGGTGGTCTCCCACAACTAGAATGTGATGCACCCGTAGGAATGTGATGCACCTGACCTGACTTGGATTGAGTTTTTCTATAGTTTAGGATTTTTTAATAATTATTAGTTATTAGCCTTTTTGTTATTTGGGCTTTTTTATAGTTTAATCTTTTCAATAATTATTTACTCTTTTGTTATTCTATTTTGTCTTATTTGGGCTTTTTACAGTTTAGGCTTTTCAATAATTGTTTACCCTTTGGTTATTCTATTTTGTCTATTTAAGACTTAGAGAACCCTATTGTTATCAGTTTGTTTTTTGTTGAATAAAATTAAGACAAGAGAATTAGTATTTTCTCGCACTTCTTGTGTTTGTTCTACTTTCTATTTAGCCAATATTCGGCATTATTTGGTAATCAGAGCTCTGGTTGTCATATAAATGGTTGAACAAATTAATGGCGGTCTAATGGCGATCTGGGTCGAGGACGACGACAGAGCTCTGGTTGTCACATAAATGGATGAACATGACAATGGCAGTCGAGGTGGCGACAACAGCAGTAAAGGTCATGGTAAGTATGACCCATTGTACATGACTCAACCATTGATTTAAGAAGCTCGGAGTCAACCAGAGTTGTGGCCTAAGTATGGCCTTATTTTTTAAAGAAGCTGAGTTGTGGCCTAATAAGTATGACCCAATTTTTGAAAGAAGAAGTAATTTAAAATATAACAAATTACGATCAAATCCAAGTCCAAATGAAGCCGCAGATAAGGTTGTAATTTGTTTGGCAAGAAAAGAAAAACAACACATTTGGCATGATTTTGAGATCTAAGAATTGGAACGTGTTTTGAATGATTTAAGTGTAATTATTTATTTATTTTTAGAAGTTATTCACTGTTATATTTATTGTAGGAAGTTTTCTTATTTTTAGAATTTTGAATTTTGGATCAATTTGTAATTAGTTTATAAAAGGATGCTTAAGTCCCTTATTTCAAGACTTGAATTTTGTTATTTTGAAACCAAATGGTTACTCTATTATGAAATTTTGACTTTTTATTTAGCCACATTTTCTATGCGCTTTCAGCATTAGAATGTGTGTATGGTGATGACTTGTTTCCTATTGAGGAAAACGGTCAAAAGATACTGATCCTCCTATGTGCCAAGGAATGGCATGTCAAGTGTTCTTGCATTTAACGCTGGAATATTTTAATGAAGGGGAGGGATGCCATCTTTCTTTGTAGTCTATTTATGCCTGAATGCCTGCCTTTTTTAATATAATAAATATTTTACTTTTCATGCTTTTGACTTGGATAGAATCTTGATTATGCTTGATTTCTCTGCTTTATTAGATTGTTTTACTCCATCCTCTTCTCAAAATTGCAATGCTTTATCATTCCTCTACACATACGTCGGATACATGCTATCTTCTACCCATTCAAACAATTTTTCCTCCTCGTATATCAAAGCTAAATCATAACAAAAATCACTTCCCCTTTATCTTTTAGAGGAAGCAGCCACGCAAATCAAAGTGATATGGGATTTTATGAAACCAATTTCTCCATGTGAACCACAACTGAACTTATGCTGATCTCATAAATCCCCAAGTCGTAAGTAGACTTTTCCTTTGCACAAATTAAAACCAAAAAAGAAAAAATATATTCTGTCATAAAAATATCATCTTTCAACTTATACAAGGTGAGGATCTCCAAGATTCATATTCATTCAATAAATTTAAAATGATAAAAAATAGAGGGAAAAAGAATGTCGTGGCTTTGAGCTATCTCGGAGAAACCTGAGAATGTCACACCCCTTAAATGAAGAATTGAAATGTCGGTCTAACTCTATATTTTTCTCTCCTTTAAATTTTGGGGCCTTTGAGCCCCTTTTGGTTGTATACCAAATATAGTTGGATTTGTTCTCGGTTTTTTATCTTTTACTTTATCGTTTTAACTTTCCATGTTCGTTTATGAATGCCTTGTTCGTCATATTGTATTCTTCGAATGAGGCCGACCTTATTGGCCACAGCCTATTGCGGGTTTTGACTCGAGTTGATATGTTGAAGTTTTCACGTTTACTTATTGGCTACTTTGTTCTTGTCTGCTTTTTGCCAAAGGCTTTGTCTCGCACGGGTGATGTTTTCACCGTTATATTTTAACTCGATCTCATTTGCCACGGTTTTATCGAGTTTGACTCGGACCAAGTCATTTGAGTACATTGGCTTTAGAGTTGTTAACTTGGCTTTCTACCTACGTCTTAATCTTAGACAGGCGTTCTGTGCTGACCTGGCCAGGGTTGTGTTATTTACTTACGCGGATTACACGTTTTTATATAAGCTCGGCTTTGCATACCGCAACTTCCAACTATTAGACTCATCTTTTTGCGAAGTCTTATTTACGAAGGCGTCTAATTGTTCCTCCTTTTTATTTTAGTTCCTCTTCACATACCATGGCTTTATTGATTTCGAACTTGTTTTCATTGTCGAAATTTTGAAGTGATATCATCCTTTGTTTTAGCCTGGCTTCGCATACCATGGCTTTAAGGATTTTGACTTGATCAGAGTCATTTTAGTTTGGTGATATTTGCCTCTTCAAGTTCAACTTATATTACCGCGATGCTTTAATTGACTTTGCAAGTGTAACTTTCAGTGAATATTTCCTCGTTTATTTGAACAAAAATTAAGTTTTTATATGAGCTTGTTGAGATAATCGACTTTTCTCAAAAGCAAAATGCTCAAACTAAATAACATATATTTCATTAAAGGGAAAAGTATTTCTCCAGTCACCAGAGATAAAATTATCTCCAGTAAGTCTAAAACAACGTCGTTTTGGAGTTATAAGATTAAAAAATTATAATGATAAAGACTAATATAACCCTGCAATATATTATAATTACAAAAACACCTTGATTTCTGTCCCAAAATGACGTTGTTTTGGGCTCACCGGAGATAACTCATCTCCATTGACGGGAGAAATCCTTTACCCATCACTAAATCTAACAAACCAATGTATACTATGTAAATTAAAATAACTACATGAATCCAACAAACACATCATGATGCTTGTAGCCAAAAAATTCTCATCATGTTCTTTTCTTTGCAAATACAATTCCAATGTTACATAAGGTTGCAAACAATTTGTAAATGTAGAAAACAAAAAACAAGATTAAAGAATGTAAAGAATAAAATAAGATTAAGAAACAAAAAATCTTTAAGAGGTTATACTTATTACCTTTTTTCTTATTACCTCTTACTACCAAATCATAACCGTTGATTTCGGTAAATGTTATAATTTATTGAAAATTAATAATTAATTAATAAGTGTGACCCAAAAAATTATAACCGTTAGATTGACTGAAATCAGCGGTTAAGATTTGATAGTAAAAGATAGTAAGAAACAAAAAATAGTAACCATAACCTTTCCCAAAAATCTTTTAATTTATTCATATACATAATCTAACATGTTGAGATATTGGTTCCTCCTACATAAGAAATAAAGTCTGATTTATATCAAAATTTAATCGAATATAGTTAAATTATAAAGAATTTTAGTTGAATAAATTTATATCTTTTATTTTTTATTCAAGTCAAATTATTTTATTTTATTTAAAATAAAAAGTACAATATAAGCCAGTCTGTAAGCTTATATGTCATGCCTTGTAAAAGTGAGTCTATGACCTATTTATTAAATAAGATTTTTTTAAGGTTTGAGTCTGGCCTATTTTATGAAATATACTAGGTCAGATCTAGCCTAACGTAGATCAAGCTATAGGCCTTGTGGGTCCGTCCGGCCCAAAGCTCGATTCGATGAAGTATCATCATTAAATCCGCCGCAGAAAACCTCATCTCCTTTTCTTTTTTCTCACTTATGTTGATACTGCTTTTTTTCCTTCTTCTTCATTCTTCACTGTCGCTGCACCTCTTCTTTTTCTTGTCTTTCGGCTGTGTCTCTTTTTTTCTTTTTAGTTAGGTTTGGCTAGTGAAATGGGCCAAGGATCCACCACCTAAAAATAATAGGTCATGCACCCAACAACAGCTTGGTCGAAACATGGAAGCTGATTAGATCTGTTATTGAGCATTTATTTTCATTTTTATTCCTCTTATCTTTTCAGTGTTATTTAGCTAAATATATTTTTTTATTTTAATGACTGTTTATTTTTCATTCGGACACTTTCATTTGATTCCTAGTTATTCTTATGATTATCTAATTTTATGAGTATGGTTATTTTGATAGTAGCCAAAATTAGAGCACAAACTACAAAGTAGGGGTGTTCGCGGTCTGGATTGGATCGGTTTTGGAAGCAAAAATCATCCGATCCAATTTTTTCGGTTTGATCATATAATTATCCATTCGGTTTTGATTTTTTTTCAAATCCGATCCGATCCAAATTTTTTCTGTTTGGATTGGATCGATTTTCGATTTTTTGAAAATCCTAAAATTTATTTAATGATTATTGTGCAAATAACCTCTTTTGTATATATTGGCTTTTTAATTTTATTTTATTTTTGAAATACAAAAGCATTAGTAAACTATAATATATTTTTTTTTTTGGCAATGAGATATGAAGCTCTACAAAGATAAAATTTTGTTGATGAGATGTGACTAATTTTTTTTTTTTGGTTTAGTTGATGGGTTAATAGGTCTTGGGTTTAGAAATTTTTAGGTTATAATTAGGGAAAAACTCAAGTAGGTAGAGAAAAATTAGTATATTGGATCGGTTTGGATTGGATCGATCTTCATCAACCCATCCAAAAATCGATCCAATCCAATTAGAATTTTCGATTTTTAATCGATTTTTGATTTTTCGATTTATTCGGTTATCGGTTTTTCGGTTCGGCCACCGCGATTTGAATCGGTTTGGATCCGTTGATGAACACCCCTACTACAAAGTTGGGTAATGTTGATTATTTTGAAAAAAAAACTAAAGAGACTTCTCTCTTGATTGTTCTTAAACTGATGGAAATTAATATTAGGGGTGTTCGCGGTCTGGATTGGATCGGTTTTGGAAGCAAAACTCATCCGATCCAATCCCTTCGGTTTGATCATGTAATCATCCATTTGGTTTAGATTTTTTTTCAAATCCGATCCGATCCAATCCAATTTTTTTCGGTTTGGATTGGATCGGTTTTCGATTTTTTGAATATCCTAAAATTAGTTTCATGATTATTGTGCAAATAACATCTTTTGTATATATTGGCTTTGTAAAAAAAAAAAATTGAAATACAAAAATATCAGTAAACAATACTATAGTTGATGAGACGTGACTAAGTTTTTTTTTTGGGTTTAGTTGATGAGTTAATGGGTCTTGAGTTTAGAAATTTTTGGGCTATGATTGGAGAAAGGACAAGTAGGTAGAGAATAATTAATATATTGGATCGGTTTGGATTGGATCGGTTTTCATCAACCCATCCGAAAACCGATCCAATCCAATTAAAATTTGCGGTTTTCTTTCGATTTCCAATTTTTCGGTTTTCGGTTTATTCGGTTATCGATTTTTCGGTTCGGTTTTCGCGGTTTGAATCGGTTTGGATCGGTTGATGAACACCCCTAATTAATATATACATAAACAAAGATGTTTTAAAAGTAATCAAAGAAAAAAACAGTATTCACAAAAAAAAAATATCTTTTTAAAAAATAATATTTTGAGATTGTGATCCTGAATCATAAGTTTCTCTAGTTTCATTTTATATATATATATATATATATATATATATATATATAGGGATAGGTTATTGTGCCTACTCCTATTTTACCTACTTTTGCCTACCCCTTTCGTTACCGTTCGATTATCATCTCATCCAACAATCCATATTTGTGATATAAAATAAACATTTTTTCCCTTTCTTTCTTCTCACTTTCTCCCATACCTTTTCTCTCTTCCTCTGCTATATACCTATTTTTTTTCCCTTTATCGTTAATCTCTGCCCAGGTGAACGGCGCAGAAGCATTTGAAATCAATTACCACAGCATTTGAAATCATCGTCAATATAATGTCTCTGTTTTTATTATTGTAATATAAATTTTCTCCTTCTGAATCAGTTTCTATCAAATTACCAGTGTCAATGGATTGAAAAATCACAACAAATTTTTAGATCTGAAGAACAACATAAATTTTATAAATTAATAAGATTGAATCGATGACTAACAAAGAAGTTTTAATGTGATTCAAAAGATCTGTGCAGAGTTGGAAAAGATTCAAAATAAATAAAAAAGTTAAAGAATAAAAAAAATTGATATTAGAAAAATCCGGAAAGAGGGTTAATTGGTGCCATTCCAGCAATTATGTTGATACAGATAGCCAATTAATTATTAGAAATTAAGAGTATCTATCATGTGGAAGAACAGATCGACATATTGAAGCAGAAACAAGGAGGATTCTGTGAACAGATCGACCTTGTGGCACCACCGCTTTGAATCACATCAAAACTTCTTTGTTAGTCATCGATTCAATCGTATTAATTTATAAAGATTAAAAATATCATTAGAATCGAACAGTTTGTCAGGAGATTGAGGTCCATGGCGGCAGAAGGGAAAAAAAATTAGGTATGGCGTAGAGGAAGAGAGAAAGGAGAGGAGAGAGAAAGGGTATGGGAGAAAGTGAGAAGAAAGAAAAGGAAAAAAAGGTTTATTTTATATCACAAATATGAATCGTTGGATGAGATGGTAATCGAACGGTAACGAAAGGGGTAGGCAAAAGTAGGTAAAATAGGAGTAGGCACAATAACCTATCCCATATATATATATATATATATATATATATATATTTCCCGTGCTGTCAAACTCGTTTCATTTATCTCTTGGATTGGGCTTTGATTCTCTATGCAAAAGGCCCAGTAAAGGTTCAATCCAACAAGTGATTGGGCTTTGATGCTCTATGCAAAAGGCCCAATAAAGGTTCAATCCAAATTGTTGTGGGCTTCTAGGCTGCATAGACCGCCTACTGAAAGTAATCCGCTACAGATTCCATTCGTTTCTCTCTGTGTATCAGGAAGAGAGAGAGAGAGATGGAAGAAGGAGATGGCAAAACAAGTAACAAGGATTCACCCACCAATTCACAACAGACTAGTAATAAACTTCACCGTACTAATGTTTTACAGCTTCTTTTCTTTTTCTATTTCCATTCTTCTACTCTCCTGTCCTGTTTGAAAGAAGATTTCATACTTGCAAGTCATAGTTTTTGGTTGCTCAATAATTTATTTATTTATTTTTATTTTTAAGAAAAATAGGAAAAGGGCTATGAAGCTTTTCGTAATTTGAAGCTACCTGCCAGTGAAAATGTAATTGTGGGACTTGATAAACTACTTCTATAGATAGGCTCTGTTAATTGGGGACTTTTGATCGTTGATTTTCAATAAATATGTCTATTCATTATATCTTAATAGATATGGTTTAGAGGTTAAATTTAAAATAAATAGTTTATTTGGGAACAAAAATGTTTTATTTTACCTAAGCTTGCTACTTATATTGAACATTAAATTAGGTGTAAAAAAATTTCAGTGACTGAAGATGAAATACTTGGAATGTATATCTAAAATGAATTGTTAAGCATGATATGACCTAGTCACTATCTTCCTAGTAGTTTAGCTACATGCTCTCTTGGTTTAGTGGCAAGCCCTCACTTCCAACCCTTTGCTCCAAACAAAGGATTGGGTTTATTAGGGACCCTTTTCTATTTATTCACCATCTATGAACTCCACACACACACACACACACACACACACATATATATATACTTGCAAATTGGTACTCTGATGTCATTAAATTCTTTTTTTCCCTTTTAAATTGCTTGGTCTTTCTAGATGTTTAATTTTCATGTGTTGTTTATTCTTTTATTTGAAAAGTTTTCTATAATCCACTGGGAATCTAGGATTGGGCAGTAGTGTGGGAGGTAATAGGTTGAAACCTCCATGCCACCATTGTAAAAAAAAAAAAAAAAATGTGTTACATATAATCATTTAACTGGTAGATTATAACTGGAAAGCTATCCTTTTTTTGCTGCCGTTAAGTCTCCAGCAGCATATGGAACGCTGTGTTAAGCTAACCATCTAATTTCTGTTTATTTGATTTAAATATCAGTTTCTGATGATGATGAGATAGACTACACAATCAAACCAGAGTTTTATGATCCAGATCTTGATGATAAGAATGAACTGTGGATTCACAAAAAAAGACATGGACGTGACTCTGATGCTGTGCTTAGCTGCCCTGCTTGCTTTACCACCTTGTGCCTAGAATGTCAGAGGTATATGCTTGAATTTGCATACATGTAAACTTTCAAATACACACACATAGATTATTGTTTTGCTTGGCATGTCCATACGTATGTATATTTTTTATTTAAATTCAAATTTTCATTTTGCATAAGGAATTACTAAATTAGTAGATTGATGATCCAATTATCTAATTCTCATTCAGACCAATACTTGGTCGCTTGTGCATATGAAGGGACTAGAAGGTTATTTTGGAAGATTATACTATGAACTGCGGTCCAAGCCTTATAAAATTTTGCTTATGTTGTGTGATAATTTGAGATAGACAACAGGAACAAGTACATATGCTGTTTAGTAATAACCATTCAATGTAGGGAAACCTGTTCTTTTATAAGAAGAGGAGTGAAATAAGAAAATAGTCGGTGCTGATAAAAACAAGAGACTAATTAATATATTGTGTTGCGGAAATCTTTTTCAAAATTGCTCAGTAATCATCTGGAGAAATTGCTGGCAATCTGAATAGTGACAGGCTTTTTGCCTTTTCTGGATAAATTGAAGTGATCAGTAGAAAATAATTTTTATTCAGCAAAAACTAATCCTTTAGTAGGAGAAAGTACTTCTGCTCCTTGAAGATGAGATTTTTTACTTAAGTTGAAACATTTTTGTGGCACCATCATTATATCTTATCCACTAACTACTTTCATTTAGATCCTGTTCACCTTTTGGCGGCCACACTTTCCCGTCCTGGGTAACAACTGCATCTATAGTTTGGCAGCTGTTATCAATTGACAGCATTACTCATGGATCATTATTATAGTTTGGCAGATGTTCAGCTGCGGTTGATATGCATTTCAAGTACCATAAAATTTCATGAGATCATGAGTTGTATGATAACCTTGAGAGGTCCATTCTGACATTTGGTTTAAATCCCTAAACTGAATACATTCAGCAGCTGGAATCAGCTGCTAAAATCACTGTTGATATGCATTTCAAGTTCATGATTTTAAATCCCTTTTAACTTGGAAATCTATTCACACAGAAATTTATTATAGCAACGACACAAAAAACTAAAGTTTGGTTTAAAATAAAATTACCTTTTTTATGGATATCAAATCCATGTAAAGAATATAATTTAATGCATTATTAACTAATGACAATATTGTAAATTAAAAAGTAATGAGGGTATTTTAGGCAAATTAAGAAGAGTTCCTGCAGTCCATGCTTTTATATATGATGATATAGATTGATGTTATAGTGTAGATCTATTTATTTCTTGTTGATTTGTGATATTTTCCATTTTTGTGGTCTACTTATCTTCTTTATTTTACTTTTTCTCTTGCTATTTCTTGCACTGTTGTCTTGTTACAGGACGTGTCTATGATGAAGTCATCCTCATTATAACCAAATCGTAACTACTATTCGAAGTAACTATTCTTTTTTGATAAAACAAAGAAACTACTCTTCTTTTGATAGCAAGAGAACTGGAAAATGACCTGTTCTTGTTTGCTTGTAATTTTTCCCAATGGGTAATTATATTAATAAATTCCTAAAATTTGAACTCGAGTTAATATTTTATTTTTTTGAATTGCACAGTTAATATTTCTTTATCAGAGAAAGACTTCTTAGTTCATATTCCCTTTGTAAGGAGTTACAGTTTAATCTTTATCTGCCTTTTGGACAGAGATTTGATAAGTTCAGTCTAATATACAAAGAAATTTTGTATTGGATAAATTATACGCCTTTTCTTTCTTCTTGCAAAAGCTTCTGAGCCTAATGAAGAAATATGGCCAGTTACCACATCATCATTTTGTTACACATATATAATAATGATCTTTTCCTTTAAAAAAATGAAAATAGTGAAGGTACGTTCTTCTGTGTTCGTTCTGTATAGAATTCTCAAGTTTAAGTCACTTGGTTATTATATACTAGTATATCCCGTTCCAGAATGAATAGGAGATTATGGCATGTTAGATCTTTCACTATTTCAACACAGTGAATGAGAGTGACTAGCTGATTAATGTTCTTGTTGTTCAAGTTTCCTGGTTTCATATACCCATCTGTTTTGTCCAAGTACTGGTAAAGAAACTAAAGATTTTGGCTTTTCTCTTCTCTGAGAATTACATCTCAACTTTATTAGCCTCTGCATATTCTGTTGTTTATGATGGGCTGCATCTAAGGACATATCCAGACATTCAAAAAATTTGTGAATTCCACGGGATATTGCTTTAGGTGTTATTAGTTTGTCTACAAAAGATCTGTGAGATGTAAACATTATTCGGGAAGCAAGCCTGTGATGTAAGATTCATTTTCCAGCATTATGATTTATGAGATAGCTAAGGGGACGAACTGGAACAATGGTAAAGCTGTTCTTTCATGACTGAAAGGTCATGGGTTCGAATCCAAGAAACAATCTTTTTGTAATTATGTAAGCGTAAGGCTGCGTGCAATGTAATGAGGACTTGGGAACTGGGAAGTCTTTGGAAGGATTTCTTTAGCTGATTATTTGTTGTTATCCCCCTAATAGATGCTGATTTCGTTCATGGGATTATCTGTTGACAATTGGTATAACTAAGTTGTTGGTTGTGGTTGTGACCTATGATTTGAAATTTAAATGACTGAGCTTCATTAGCTTCTTGCAGGCATGAAAAATATTTGACCCATTATAGGGCAATATTTGTTGTAAACTGCAAGATTGAGAATGACCAAGTTTTGAGGCAAAATATTTCAAGATCGGGAAAAAGAAAGAGAACCGGAAGACTTGATGGAAGCGATGCACATTCGAATAATATTGAAACATTCAAGCAAGTTTGTTGCTCTGTTTGTTCGACAGAGGTAGGTGTCATTGATGAAGATGAGGTTTATCATTTCTTCAATGTTCTCCCAAGTCATTGATGAAGATGAGGTTTATCATTTCCTCAACGTTCTCCCAAGTGAACTCTGACTGATTCAGATGTAGCTGCCTAGCAGGGGTTAAATTATGTTGGTCAATCATTCTGCTGGTATCTGAATTTTACTATCTTGCAGAATTTCAATTCAGCAGTATCTCTTTGTTTTTTTTTATAGTTTGTATCTCTATGTTTTAGATCCAAAATAACACAATTGCTCCACTCTGAATATTTCTCCCCCATAAGCATTTTAGAGATAACTGTCAAATAGTAAGTATTAGAAGAAGGCTAAAACCATGGACACGAAAGTATTACTTGAAGAACCTCTGAAATAAGCCTCGTCTTTGGATGCTTTTCAATACCATGTCAATTTCTATTCATTTTTGCCGCTTTTCCCCCTCTCTTTTTATTGTTAACGATGATGGTTAAACCCCAAATGATTGCAAAAGCATGAAAAATTGGCCCTTGAGCTTGGAATAGGCTAATTATACAATTAACTCCATATCAAGTAACATTTAATAATATTGATCAACGCACTGTAATCAAAACTCAAAACATTTCACTGTAATATTATTTCCTAGGTGACAACAATGTGTGGATGCGTAAAAGCATAAATGTTTACATCCTACATGTTTCAGAATTTATTTTTTAATTTTTGACTAATTGTGAAATATAATCTGATAATATAAAAAATACTAAAAAGTATCTTCAAAAGAGAATATGTTAGTCACATTATTTGTATTAATATAAAAATAGGATCATGATCCAATATTTTAATGGGATAGCATGGAATGTTCCATCATTTCTAGCAGAGAATTAGGAGTATGCAAATCCAGAAAAGGTGCATCAAATCCTTGGCATCATTATCGATCACTCCTTTTTAGTTGTTTTCACTAATAAACAAATGTAGTGGTTAGGAAAACATAATGCATATACTAGTATCAATGATTTACATATTTAGTAATAAAAGAGGCAAGACACAGCGCATGAAAATAGCTATTAAGATATGGAATATAAGCCCCGTGTGCATTGATTATTGCATTTTATTTTAATATTATGGCTTCTTTGTTTTATGCTTGTTAATTATTTCTTCTTTAAACTAGTCTTTCATAGGAACCGCTACGAATTACTTACCTTAAAAGGGAAAAATATTAAATGATGTAAGATAACTTTATGTATTTAATTATTTAGAATTCACACTTAATTTCATATTTTTAATTCTAGTTTTACTATATCTTATTTGTTAAATTACCTCTTTGTTCTCATTGTTTTAGTGTATAAACTAACAAATATAATATCTGCACATTAAAAAAAAATGACAGTTATGGGATCAAGTGTGTTACCTCCTCAATTCCTCACCATGAGTTCACTCCAAATCGCTTTAAGTGTTTTTAAGTTTTAGACAATGTTTGATAAAAAGGAAATATTTCTCTCAAGTTGGCTAAGAGATAAATATTTTCATACACATTGATAATTGAACTACTATTTTTTTTTTCTCTCTTGGTGGGCCCACAATTGTATGTGAGTGTAGGAAAATATTTCTCTCTTATGTAACTTGAGAGAAATATTACCCTTGATAAAATATGTTAGAACATAATGAATATTATATATTTAATTTATTTAAAAATTAAAGAAAATATAATACTAACTTAAGAAGTGGTGCATTTTGGTTCTATTAAAAGAGATAAAATTAAGGAAAACAGAATGGAAAATTTCAATCTATCTTACCTATGAAATGAATGCTATTTTATAATTGTCATTTTAAAGAGAATTTCATCTAACCATTAAAAGACTAGTTTAAAGCAATGTTTATAGAAATACCTTAAATAAAGAATCAAAAGTTACATAATTCTTACACTACTTTTTTCAAATGAAAAATAAAATAAAAAATAAATCCTAATATACCCTCTTTCTATTTTCTTTTCAAACAAATAAAAAATAATACAACTATTTCAGTGTGCAAATAGCAATATATGTAAAGAGAGAGGGAGAGAAAAGTGTGTATCCTTTTAAAGGACACAGACTTATATAATTTTAAGAGAGAGATAGACATAAAGAGTTGTTTATCTCTCTTTATACCCTAACATACCCTCTTTCTTTTTTCAGTGGGACCTACACCTCTTTTGTATCTATTTATCTCTTGAAAAGACCTGATCCGACCAATCCAAAATTGGGTGGGCCAAATCACACACGATTGAAGATTGAAGTTGATGGGCCTTTAAGCTATTGCGAATCTTTCTGGTACTGTAAATGGAGCTTATCCTTGAAGTGCTTGTGTAGTAACTTGGGCGCAATGAAAGAGACTCAGGAGGGTACATGTAAAGACACTCCGACATTTAAGTCAGTATCAATGTGATGTGTATATTGTTTAACTGAGAGATATGTGTACCTGTGATTGTTCCCTCTGTATTTATAATGTGCTTTGTGTCATCCTTTGTAGGCGGCATCTCTCCTTATTGATAATTTAGGGTGGTTGCCCTTCTGTCACAGTTGTTACTCCGCAGGCTATTTCTTGATGAACCAGTCTAGATGCTAATCTATTTTCTTAGAGTAGTGGCAAGCTGGAGCTATCTCGTCTATACTGGTTCTCATGCGCGGTGGATCTTATCGAATCTCTATATCCTTCCTTAGTTTTTAAGTTTTGCCTCGCGGCTTAATATGGTAGCTTGCGCATTGAGTCTGATCTGCGCAATAAGGTAGTCCGCGCAATGAAGGCATTGCGCCGACCGCCTTTGGTCCCTCATAGGCCTCTAATTATTGGGCTTATGTTTTATCCGGATCACGGCCTAAGTTTGTATTCTTTAAAAGGACACACTTTTCTCATATATGTGTGTGTGTGTGTGTGTGTGTGTGTGTGTGTGTGTGTGTGTGTGTGTGTGGGAAAATCATTTCTCCATCAACTTGAGATAAGTTTATCTCCGGCCACCTCAAAATTACATTATTTTATTTATTTATTTCCTTATATTAATTGATTCACCTTTGAATGGTTATGATTTTCTTTTTCTCTCTCTTCCTTTATCACCATTGATTCATCTTTGTATGGTTATGATTTTGTAGCCGAAGATAAAATTATCTCAAGCAGCTTGATAAACGATAAACCCTATATATATATGTGTGTGTGTGTGTGTATGTATGTTGATGAGTGTCCAAGACGCTATGTTTTTATTGTTAAATATAGTTCAAATAATAATTAAAATAATTAAAAATATAGTATTAATTAAATAAAATATTGATTACCAAAAAATATACATTAAAAGATAGTAAATTTTAACAAACAAATAAGATCATAATCTTTGTTTTTGTTCCAGATTGTTTCATACTAGAATAACAAATTACTAACATGATAAAGATGAGGAGGCAGTTGGCATCAGTTGATTATCAAGCGAAAATAAGGAAATAAATAAATAAAAAGATTATTTGGCCACGCTCACTCTACTGCTCGATTCAGCGAGCAAGTAAGCGAGCAGCACAATCAAGCTCGCTTCACTGCTCGCTTCAGCGAGGAGAAGAAATTGTCTCGCTAAGCAGCTCGCTTCAGCGAGCTACTCAGCGAGTTGGTCCAAAATCAGAAGCCCAAATTTTACTCTTTAAATACAACGCGAGTGAAGCTGAGAAAATTATTATTCGGAAGACGCGAAGAAAAGAAGGCATAGGGGCGGAAGAACGGCCAAAGCTTCATCGTGGAGACCGGGTTTTATTTCCCTTGTTATGAATTTTAGTTTCTTTTAATCTATTGTTCTTGTTTTCCTGACTATGTCAGGCTAATTTTCTTTAAGTAGTTAGGGCGAGACGGAACCAATGGGTTCTTAAACGCTATTTACTTCTCTTATGATTTATATTCTTGATTTAAGTTATATAATTAATCTGTTTAAAATTTATAGTCTTGTTTATGATATGACCAATCTTGAATGAGCATTAGAGTCGTGCATGACAATAGGGATGTTGGTGTACCAATTTCGATTGATTGATTGCTGGAATTTGTACGATCTAGAGATAGACTTATGAATTCTATAGCCGTAGGTTCTTGCGTTAATGCTTAATTTACGAAAAAGTATTAAGGGATTAGGCTTTGGATTGAAATAAAGGATTAGATTATCAAAGAATTGTGATTTGATCAAATATAGAAAAAACTATTAATAACTTAATCTTGAATATAATCATAAGAATAGGTAGATTCGCTAGGAAACCATTGGAAAAGTCGAGTCCTTTTTATTAAAAACTTAAAACCAATTTCTAACTTTATTAATTCTGAATTTATTTTCTAAATTATTATAAACTAAAAATAAGTTTAAAAATTCTTTTTTAATTTAGTTAAAATATTTTCAAGAAATCATTTCACGATCCAGCTTTAGTTAAATAGATAAATTATTGCTTGATCATCAGTCATCGTGAAATCGACAACTTAATCTTATCATTTTATTACTTGTACGACCGGTGCACTTGACAAAGTCGTAACATATGTATGTATGTATGTCCGTCTCCTATTGAAATCCTTCACATTAAATTAAAACAAGATTTAAAAATAAATAAAGAGAATCCAAGGAACACGCTATTCATCCGTGTATAGAAGCATTTGAATGAGAAGTTAACTTCTAAAATCTTTGTCAAGTAAGTTTGACCAATAAGTGGCTGTCAGTAACTCAGATCATTTTGTCACATTTGATTAAAATATTTATCAGACTGTGACGTCAACTGTAAATTTTTTCAGAATATCATGTGGCATAATTCGCTATAATGTGTAACGAATTATGTTTGCAAATAATTCGTTACACAGTGTAGCGAATTATGCCATGTCAGGCTACATAGTCAGCAGTAATGACATATGTCAAGCAGACAATCATCCAAGCATAATTCGCTACACAGTGTAGCGAATTACTGCCTGCTTGACACGTGTCGTTTTTGCTGACTGTGCAGCCTGACATGGCATAATTCGCTATACTGTGTAACGAATTATTTGCAAACATAATTCGCTACACATTATAGCGAATGATGTCACATGATATTCTGAAAAAATTTACTGTTGACGTGACAATCTGATAAATATTTTAATCAAATGTGACAAAACAATCACTGTCTCAATTATATAAAGATGTCTAGCCCCAAATATGCCCCTCTACGAGGAAGGATACTACTTAAGTCCTTATACATTTGTCACGTACTTATAAAAATACGAACGAGTACTTATGCAATTGCAATATATAATTGTGATAGAATAATACGTTCGTTTCTTTTTATCTATGAACGTGAGTTTTGAAACTATAGACTACTGTCATACTTTCTCTTCAAAGTTCAAACTAGATTCTTACATTTTTGTAAGTCCTATCAAATAAATTCCCTGTCATCTCATTAAAATATTTGCTTTGATTT